GTACTACGTTTGGCCGTGGCGTATTCCCATTCGCTGGATGAGAGTCGAGGAGGTACATGGTGGCTCCCCAGAGTCTACGACTTGCGCTTGAAGTCTAGCTCCCCTATGAAATGCCAACCCAGAGTGTGCCTCAACGCAGTAGCTAGCGGGTTATCACCTCGTTGACATTGAAGTCTTGTATTCCTGGGACAGGTTCGTTAATCTCTAAATCATCAAAGGGATTTGATTCGACATACATTGTCATAAGGCCACTAATGTCTATGGTATACCTTAAGGTTGCTTCCTTTAGCTGGAACATCCGTCCTTGCTTGGCATACTGATGAAGGACCTCAACGAATATCTCGGCTTCATGTACGACATGACGAGCTTGATTGAGGATGTAAGACGAATTAAACCCAGGTGAAAAGAGAGAGCGTCCTCGTTTTGATTCATCACTATTGCTTGTGAAGAGACTATCTCCTCCCGATATTGGGCGAAGGAACGGAATGAGGGCATCTGGCTTTCCAAGTTCATTCGCCTGACAAGCCTGAACTGCATAACTTGGCGACGAAACAAGTAGTAGCGGCGGTATGAAAGGCCATAAATCGATATAAAAGAGGGAATCACTCTCCGAAAAGTCATCAGAAAGAGCCGCGAAAATGTCTGGTCGCGCGATATCTGAAGGTATCATGAATCAATTTTCCCATTCTGGTGTCCCGTATGGGTTTAGTAAGCTTGCTGCTCTTGCTCAGGCGCTAATCACCCTTGGCTCACCCTTGGCTCAGTCGACTCGCCTGAGGAACCTGAGCACCCTGAGCACCCCTGAGCACCCCTGAGCACCCCTGAGCACCCCTGAGCATCCTGAGCAAGATCTACCACAGCACCTCTGAGCACCCTGACCTGAGCAGCCTGAGCATCTTGAGCAAGATTTACCACATCGTTACGTGCTTTGGCTTTTCGCTTTTTAGCTAATTACACCTAATAAATGTCCGGTGTTATAAGTTAAGTGATTTATTAGTTAAATAAGAAGCGTTTGTATTTTAAAGAAAATAAAACTAAAGAGAGAAAAAAAGGAAAAAAAAAATTTTTTTCTTTATATAAAATAAATAAATAAATATAAATTATTTTAAAAATTAAATGATTTATAATTATGATGGCCACCCTACAAGTTGTCTCACGTGACACAAGCACGTGACTAATGTGCGATGGAATTACAATTATTAAGTAGGACAATCTAGTATGTATAACTGTCGGGAGTATAGGCCAGGCGCCACTCCATTGGCTGAGACCGGGCCGGAAGATCAGACAGGATTAGCGGGACTAGCCGTTTCGTATGGAAGCACGTGGTGTAAGCAGATTTATGCAGTAGCTAGTATATAACTCGTACGACGTAGTACGAGTTAAAGGGTAGACGCAATACCACGATTAGTACAGCACCTGCTGCTTGTTGTGGCCGCGTCTCACAGCACGTGCAAATATCACGTGATTTACAGCTGAATACTGTGCTTCCAACAATAACCCTAGGAAATAGAAACAGTAGAGCTAAGGAGTAGTTAGGGGAAACGAAATGTGTCATGTAAGCACAAGATCAGCTGATCGTACTGTACTGCTCATCACACTACAAGAGGAATATAACGGATTAAAACCCATATAAGAACTCTTAATATTAAGATTACTTATAATGCCACGGACTACTTAGTTCTTAGGGCAACCCATATTTATTTATTTACCTCGTACGAGGGGGAGAACTTTTCTTTTCTTCTTCTTCTTCTCTCTTTAGTTCTATTCTCTTTGAATATAAACGCTTCTTATTCGATTATCGAATCACTTGACCCGTGACACCAAGCCCCTGAAGCCGTTGACGAACTAGTCGAAGGCCTGGTGACCCGTCTCGAAGACTGCGGAATTCTAGACAACACATACATTATCTACTTCACAGATAGCGGTTATCACATCTCCCAGCACCGACTCAATCCTGGCAAAGAATGTGGATTTGAAGAAGATATCAACATCCTGCTTATGATTCGAGGTCCTGGTGTCCCAGTTGGAGAAGCTGATGTCGTAACTGCGCATACGGATCTCGGACCTACGATTCTGAAGATTGCGGGCGGGAAGGTGGGATGGGAGGGATTGGATGGAAGCCCGATTTCGCTGGAGAAAGAGGTGATTCTAGAGGCGAAGGAGAAGAGGCAGGAGCATGTGAATGTTGACTTTTGAGGACGGAGTATGCCTGTGGGAGTTCACAAGTTCTCACTTGATGATGGGAGAGTTGGTGAGTCTTCCAATCTGAAGATATCCTAATATCAACTCAATTGACTGACTACTCAAGTTTCGTACGGGCTAACCAACACTTACAAAGCCCTGAGACTCATCTCGAAGAACTATAATCTCTACTACTCAGTCTGGTGCACCAACGAACACGAACTCTACGACCTAAATGTACGTCCTCTCCCCTTCCCTCGCATCATTTTACTAAAAAACCAAGAACGAACACCACCAAACCAACAATATCTACCCTTCCTCGACCCCCTCCTTTCCCCAACTCGAACACCACATCCTCAACCTACTCCTCACACACGATAAGCGAGATAAGGTGATTTCCATCCAATAAACAAATTTAGGCGCGAGTCTCAAGTGCTTTCGCAGCATCCAAGACAGCGAGTGCCTCGGAGGTCAGATATCCACGACTGATCAACCACTGAATATACTCAAGGGTCCAGTCTTGACACCTCTTGCCCTATTATTCAAAATTAGATGCGGATTGGCAGTACTAGGCCAGTTTTCGCTTACCACTCTGGGGTTCAAAGGCTCTGGGCTCGCGGTTGGCGGGTCAATCTTCTTGGCTTCCGTTTCGAGCGCATCCCTGGGAGTGACATCGACCTCGTTCGGGTGTGTTGCGGAGACGTCTTGAATATGCTCCTCTCTGACCAATGCAAGAGGCATCTTATGGTATGCTCGACGAGTCACGCTGCAATCGTAACCGCGCTTGAACTCCAATCCGTAGCCAGTGAAAGGAGTACCGACGACGTGGATAACAGTGCCTTTTGTTTCGGATCCTGCCTGTGGAATGAGTATTGCCCAATGAGCACGAGTGCCATTGACACGGGAGGCATTAGCTGCTGCTGGGAAGACTAGGAGATAGATTTGACGAGACATGTTGCTGGAATAGGATATAATATGTGCTGTGGAATGGAAGTGTTCAATGGACTGAGGATGTCTGTGTATAAGATGCAATGTGCAGAAGATGTGAGTTGGTATGAAGAGAAATAGGAAACTATCGATGAAGAGGACAGCAGATGTGTACGACTTATAGGGATTGTACACGCAATGCGTGAGCAACTTGGGGATAATGAAACCCAACCTCGGTGTCTTGCTGTGACACGAAACTGCCTAGCCCAACATAGACCTACCTGGGCCGGTGGTACTGAAATGCCTTGACGCTGACTTTAGACGAAACGCGTTTCATCATACAATGCCCATCCGCGGCCGCATAAGCGTCTCCTGACTAGACCAGCAATTGGCAGATAATGTCAGTACATTGTATGTCACTCCCATCTCGAAAGTAGTGTAGTAGTGTCAGGTGCACGAATATAGAGTCTCAGGCTGCTGTAATCAGGGCATTGCGCAGACATGGCGATTAGATGGGCTTGCTAGATGGACGTCGAAAACGCACATTGAGTTTGAATCGCTGGACGGCTCTTGCAAAAAAGAAGGTTCCAGCAGTGCCAAAAGGAGGCTTAGAAGGTACAAGAAAAGATCCGCAGGGTAAGACCTACAAGCCACCAATGATATATAGAGACTTTTGAGTGCCAGCGACGGTTGTTGGTAATTCTGCAGAGCACACAGTTTAAATGGTCGAAATCAACAATTTGAGTAGCCAGCAAGCAGCCTGCTGCATTGTAAGCGCCAGGCGGGTCCAGCGTTTAGGAAATCGGTCAATGAACTTGAGAGCGTTCGGAAGTTGAGCGCTCGTCTTGATGCCAGGAAGGTTTGTGTTAAATATGGAAGTGTTGGTTTCAAAGTCGAGGCTCGCGGCCGGCGGGTATTGGGAGACTCATCGCTTGGCAGCCCATGGTAATCACAGACGAGGCGGCTATGTTCCGAGGCAAACAACATCGAGTAGAGTAATGTTGTTGAGTTGGACTGATAAAGAGAAGTAGTTCTGAATGCTGCGGTGGGAAATCATCATCAGAGACGACTTGCAGACCAGAAATTATCAAGAATATAAACTTTAGCCTAACCTGTTTCGGTGAGCCTAGCCTCAGATCACGTGGGAGTCCATCGCTTTAGGCTTAGCCTACTCTACCCCAACACTAACAGCCAAAGAAATCCAGCTGGCAATAATCATATCGATTTCTCGTCAAAGCTCCAACGTGAAAACAACCACTCTTCAGGTCATCTGATTTAGGTGGACTACATGCGAATTGAGCGAGAATAAAAGCTTTGAACTGTATCCCAAACTATCTCCAGGATATGGCTACCTTGGACGTAGGAGAGCTGCCAACGGGGGATAATGTCGTTATCAAGACCAGCTCCTATTTCAACCGCACAGCTGAAGACATTCTTCTTCCTTCTCCTGCCGAAGTCAGAAAACGTGCTTTAGAGAAAGGCTTTGTGTATCCTGGAAATCCTCCGCCAATAAGGTTCTCAGAGCTCGGCCTCATTGTCAAGTCTGGGACCAATCTCACTATTGCAGAAGCTCAGTGCTTGTGGGTGATTCGGAAACACCTGAAATGCGAGATCCCAGTTCCAGAGCTTTACGGTTGGGTTCGCGACGGGGGAGAACTCTTCATATACATGAAACTTATTGAGGGGGAAACCTTGGAGGCAAGATGGGATACACTTTCTGTGCTTGAGCGTTTGGACGTCTCAAGTCAGTTGAAAACAATGACCACGGCACTGCGAGGTCTTAGGCAAGGAGGAAAAGACGCTTTCATAGGTACGCACTTCGTGGGTTCACAGAGTCGAACAAATACTGAGTGCAACAGGCAGTATCAACCGTGGTCCGTTACTGGATATCCTTTTCGAAGGAAGACCAGGGTTTGGCCCTTTCAAAACCACCAAGGAATTTCATGACCGCTTTGCAGCTGAGGTCAGTAAGTATCATCCCGATATTCAGAACTTCGTGGACCCAATGCGGGGTCAACTTCCGGACGAAGCCCCGATTACTTTCACTCACGCCGACCTTCATCCCAGCAATATCATGTTGACAGCCACTGATGTTAAGCCGGTTCGAGTTCTTGCTATTTTAGATTGGCATCAATCGGGGTGGTACCCCGATTACTGGGAGTTCTGTAACATGTTGTATTGTGTGGATATGGATGGAGATTGGGCGAAGGATTATGTCCCAATGATCTTGGAGAAGCCTGATTGTTTTGATGGGTGGTGGTACTATATGAATGGCCTAGGATTCTGAGATTCCGCCTTTGATGCTAGCGGCCCAGACTCACAATATGGAACTTCCACCAAAATTAGCTTTCGTTTGTTCCTTCTTCCCTTTGAATCAAAAAATTATACTGGCTTAAAGCGGAAAGAGCAAAGAGTCGTGAGGATAAAAGCCGCCAAGCTCTCCCTCCTCCCACAACATCCTTCAAACTTCAACACCACCACGAACCAAATCTTCACAACACCAATAGGACCATGATGGCTTCTCCCCAAGAGAATTTGATGACGGAGAACAAGGGTCAAGCTATCGATCAATTGTCCCCAGGCACGATGCAGCTAGGTTTTCATTTTGTGATCTGATGTAACAATGCTGACCTGCTGTTCAGTTTGATCAAGCCCACAAGGTCACCACCGCTGATTCGAGCGTCAATTGCGACATCATGTCCAAGACCACATCTTCAAGATCAACACGAGATGTTTCTACACAAACTTTTCCCCTCCAGTAAGGATCGATTTCGACGATGATGTCCACAGCCCCGCCTCTGAAGGCAGCGCAAGATGCTTTCACGCAGATGCTTGCCTCAAAGTCCCTTCAACATCGGTCAACCTCCACAGCAGCTACAGAGTTCACCCTCTTCCCAAAGCTCGCACCCGAGCTCCGATTTAAGATCTGGAAATTCTCCGTTCCCGAGCCTAGGGTAGTGGAGCTACGCTGGAGCGCGGAGGTGGGGAATGCTGTATCCCCTACGAAGGCTCCTAGTATGCCAATATCAATGTGGGAGCTAAATGACCTCTCACAACTTCGAAAACTCCCACTATGAACATCGTCAAGATCGCACATGTTTTCGCTTGAGTCAGATGCGCACCGTTGTCCCGTCCAAGATGGCGGTTTGCTGAGACCAAGACCAAAATACCGAAATGGCTTCCTTAGGCTTGGAATTCAGGGTTAATCGTATCGCACTGATCTACTTGCAATTCCATGCACAATTCCAAACCTAAGGAAGCCATTTTGGTATTTTGGTCTTGGTCTCAGCAAACCGCCATCTTGGACGGGACAACGGTGCGCATTTGACTAGTTACGTGCTCTTTCACGAGAGGGATCCAAAATCTACTCTGGCAGGGAACCTTGCAAGGGAGCAGAAACGGATTCCCGGGCAAAGTTCGGAAAGGAAACTGTAGCTGGGGCACACAGGAGGCCAAAATTGATTCCACATTATAGTTCGCAGGCTGACTCGGGGCGTGCTTAGGATGCTCAGGTTCTGCTCAGGTTCTGCTCAGGCTCTGCTCAGGCATGCTCACCCTTAGCTCAGGTTAAAGCAGCAGTTGCTCACGTCCGGAGACTAAAACGGAACCAGCGAAAGGGAAAATTAATCCTGAGTCTATAGGTATTGATTCGAAAAGATCATTTAGCGTAAGAAGATGGCCAAAAACTGGATTCCATTTGGGCATTGGCTAACACCAGCCGTTTATCAGCCCAGCATCCCAGCTCGCACTTACTGCAGGAAATATGAGGCGTGAGGATAGATGGCTTACCAGGCCTTGCTTTACCTTCTCATAGAAAGATAATCGAGCCTTGACAAGCAAGAACGTGGCATACCCTAACGCGCCCACGACAGTGACCCAAATTGCATGGAATTCGTATCCATTGGCCCAACTGAACGGAGCCATGTCAAACGCATATGGTGGTTGGCAAGTGTACGAAGGAAGAGCACGACATGAAAGCTGTACGTGGCCGAAAAGTCTGCAAAGTGCAAAAAAGCTGGTGGGATAAGCGAGTTTAGTCAGCCTATTGAAGCCGGTGGCGGAAGCCTAAGGGACCGTCCACTGTAGTCCACCACACTGCCCAATAAGCACCCACCACACCCTACAAGTCAGCCAGGTTTCATGCGCAGGTGAGTTTTGGCCGAATCGAGCGATTTTGAAGCTATTCACAGTATTTATTAAACTTTGAAGTCACACACAAGCAACCGAAGGCATTCGGAGTATTCTCGGGGCTCTAAAAGTAGCCTCGGCTCTCGGAAAGCCCCGAAAAGCCTCAAAAATTGAGGAATAAGCCAGGCAACAACGCTAAATGCTCTCACAGCCTGTCGACAGCCGCTGTCGACAGGCTGTGGAACTTCCACAGCTGTGGAACTAATCCACAGGTTCACCACACCATCTCGGAACAGGGTGTTCCGCTAAGGTAGGCATTTGTTGGCGATTCATTGGTACCACCTCACTGGGAAGACAAGGTAACATTAGCAACATGGTAAATAGAGAAGAACCGCATGGTCGCCTTCATGGAGTCAAATGAGTCAGAAGGAGAACATGGCAATTGCTTTAGCTCTCGGAACGATATTTCTTATTCCATTCTTGTTCAATTATGCTGTAGCTTGGATCATGTACTACTGGGGTCACTGGTGGGAGCATGATACACAAATTCCCCCTGAGTATCCATCATTCTTCCCTTATTTGGGATCTGCCATTCCATTCATCCTGGACAACCAGAACTTTCTGAAGCGTGCAACGTAAGTAGAGCAAAGAAATTTACCTGTAGCCACGATCCACGATCCAACTCATGCTCATTATGTGCAGGTCTATCTCTGGGAAATTGACATCAGCGCGAATATGTTTCTTGGGGAGCGATATATATCTCTTCCAGGATCGTGAGACTGTTGCTAGAATTTGGAAGCAACCGCTATTAGGGAGTCCGATTGAGGTCTACAGTTACACACTCAAAAATTTCTTCGGAATGCACGACAGGGCACTTTCAAGCTATAGACAGGACAACTCTGGCCCTTTCACAAAACCGTTTCCAGGAACTAATGTCCCTTCTGAAAGCCGCGTGGATCATATCACTCACAAAGGATTTCTAAGAGCTCTCAGTGGACCAGGATTGATGCCAACGACTCATCGTTTCATGCAAGGACTCGAAAGGAGATTTGATGACTTACATTTATCAACAGAATGGACACAATACCCTAGTATTGTGGAGTTCTTTCAAGACATTGTAGGAGGGTCGTTGTTACAGGCTATCTTTGGACCTACTCTATTGCATCTCAACCCAACCTTCATACAAGACTTGTGGCAATTTGATAACAATGTCCCACGGCTTGCTCGAGGAATGCCCGCATTCATCCTGCCCAAGCCATATAGGACTCGACAACGACTTAGAGACCAGCTAAAAAATTGGTATGCTTACGCCAGAGAACATTTCGATGAATCACTAGTCCAGACGGATGGCGATGGCGACCCAATTTGGGGCTCAGAGCTCATGAGATATCGACAGAGAACGGTACTACAAGTACCCAATCATGACGATGAATCTCTCGCTTCCGCAGATCTTGGGTTGGCTTGGGGGTACGTACTTCTCCATCCATTCATGTTCCAGAGTAGGAGCTCACGAGCCACAATTAGGTCGGTTGGAAACACTATACCATGCGCAATGATGGCAATTATACATATTTTCAAGGACCAAAGCCTCCTTGCGCGTGTTCGACTGGGCCTCAGAGACGGCTACGGTGAAATCTCCGGCGCAGATGTCGAGCCCAAAAGACTCACTCAGGACCCACTTCTCTCTTCCATCTACGCAGAGACTCTTCGTTTGTACGTCCAATGCTACTTTGTAGTGAGCTCGCCACTTCTTGATGTTTCACTTGGCAAGTGGTGGTTCCCGAAAGGCAACATCGGCCTTGTCAATTCAGGTATTTCTCACATGGACAAATCTTTCTGGAACACCAAACGAGGAGCCTATCCTGTTCAGTCATTCTGGGCTGATAGATTTCTCCGAGACTCGTCTGATCCAACGAGCGGGCCCATGAACCCCGACCTTGAAAATGATGCATCGAGCAGTAGGAATGTTGGGGGCGGTGAATCTTCGTTCTCATTGGACAGCCTTGAGGGGTCATGGATACCCTTTGGAGGTAAGTTGCCAGCAAATTATCGCGTGTAACTTTGGACTCCTTAGCTGATGGAAGACAAGGCGGACATGCGATCTGCCCAGGGCGCTTCTTGGCGAAGCATGCCATAATTTTTTACATGCGCCCTAATAACGAGTCGGTACGACGTTGAAATCCCTACCGATGTCGAAGTGGGCTCTTGGAAATTCGGACTGGGGGTATCACCGCCTAAATCTAAAGTTCCATTCCGCATACGGAAGAGGACGGGATGACTCGGCCCCGGGATTGACCGGTAAACTAATTTTGGTGGGCGTGGAACGTAGGTAGCAAGGACATTTACGGGAATACAGGATTCATAAACGCTTCTGTTCCACTTATCCATAAAACCTCAATCAGGCATAGTGACCACGTTTCCCATATTCTGGGACATGTTACCTTCCCTTCCCTTTCTAGTGCTTCTCCTACCCCATCAAGACTATCATACCAAATCTAGCTTAGCGTACGTTGCATGGTGCTCACAGCTGCCTTTTTTATCTTTGGGTCTCTCACCAATACAACGACTGTCATACTAAAGATTTTGTGCTCACGTCTGTAGCACAGTGTACGGCCTTGCCACCTCCTTCTGAGTCTCAACGCACGACTTGCTCTTTCCATAGGAATGACACCTCGACACGGCGCAAGCAAACGACGCCAAATACCCCTCCACCCAGTGCCAAAGATACAACGGCCGCCAGTTCGAACTCAGGTGAAGTCAGATCAGCTGCAATCATTTCCAAAGAGGTGCAAACCATGTCTCAAAATGGCCAATTGCGACTAGGCGTGAGCTTCCAGAATATCAACATTCACGGGTTTGATTACTCTGAGCGTTATCAATCTACGGTCAGCTCATACCTGCTTGCGATACCAACAGTCATTTGGAAGAACCTCCGTGGGCATGGTGCAAAGAAAGTCGACATACTACAAGATTTCTGCGGTTTGGTACAAAGTGGAGAAATGCTTCTTGTTCTGGGAAGACCTGGTAGCGGATGCTCCACGCTTCTAAAAGCTCTTGCAGGACAAACTCAAGGCATTCAAGTGGATGGTGCTGAGAGGATCAACTATGAAGGTCTGATAATACGTCCCAGCTCTTCTCTTTCTTCATCAGCAAGGTCAATGCTAAGTTTCGCGAAGGAATCTCGTATCGGCAGATGCATCGCGAGTTTCGAGGCGAATGCAATGTTCTAGCAGAAATCGATGAGCATTTCCCTGAATTAACTGTTAGAGAAACGCTTGGATTTGCAGCGGCTACAAGAGTCCTTGGTCCTGGGAAGAGCAGAGATTTAGAGTCTCGGAATCTTGGACGCAATGTCTCATCGCTCTTCAATCTGGACAGTGCATATAACACGAAAATTGGCAACGCTATGATTCGAGGGATCAGCGGAGGGGAAAAGAAAAGGACCAGCATTTCAGAGGTCTTCATTGGTGGTAGTCCTTTTCAGTGCTGGGACAACAGTACCCGAGGGCTAGACAGCGGCACAGCTTTGAATTTCATCAAATTGCTGAGAAGTTCGACGAAGGATTTGAGTTCAACCGCAATTGTCAGCATTTATCAAGCCTCGGAGCGAATTTTTATGGTTAGTATCAAGTTATTTTTTCAACTGCACAATTTAACTTTCGGCACAGAACTTCGATAAAGTTACTTTGTTGTACGAAGGTCGTCAGATCTACTTTGGACCCATCGATTCCGCTGCAGATTACTTTCTGAATCTCGGTTTCGAGAGATCCAGCCGTGCGACCACGGCAGATTTTCTGACGTCAGTAACCCATCCTGTAGAGCGCATTATCAAAGAGGGTTATGAGTGTCGAGTGCCACGTTCGCCAGATGATTTCGCCGATGTTTGGAAACGAAGTGCGGCGGCAAAGTTACTTACCGAGGACATTGATTCGTTCAATGCAGCACATCCCATACAAAAAAAGATCCTCGATGGACAAAGCGAGAATCGTATGCTTCGAATGCATACCTTCCCAATTTCTGTCTGGCTACAAATTGTCATCTGCGTTAGAAGGGATATTTGCAGACTCCGCAACAACTACGTCCCAGTCGTAGCAGGCATTTTTGGAAACACAATTATAGCCATTGTTGTTGGAAGTGTATTCTACGACCTTCCAGACAATGCCAATAGCTTAGATAGTCGAGCTGTTCTTATCTTCTTCGCCTTGATGGTCAACGCATTTGCCCCTGCATTTGAGGTCGGTATTCCCAACTTGAACTTGGACTCCATTTATGACAGAGCTAATAGAACGATCAAGGTTCTCACCATGTGGGCACAACGGCCCATTGTCGAAAAGCATGCCCGTTATGCCTTCTATCACCCGGCTGTAGAAGGGGTTGCTTCCATTCTATGTGATATGCCGAACAAGATTGCAACATCGATACTCTTCAACATCTGTGTCTATTTCATGACAAACCTGCGCCGGAGCCTCTCGTCTTTCTTGATCTTCTACTTGTTTACATTCGTTACAATTATGACAATGACAATGTTCTTCCGAATGGCAGGGTCTCTCTCGAGGACCATTGAGCAGACCATGGCCCCCATGCTATAATTATTCTGATCTTCATCGTTTACACAGGGTTTGTGATACCAGTGAAAGATATGATAGGCTGGCTTTCTTGGCTAAGACGATTAAACCCGATGTCGTTTGCATACGAAAGCTTGATGATCAATGAGGTAAGTATGGTACCTTATTGTCAATATATATTTGAGCTGATATATGCAGTTCCACGATCGCCAATTCCCATGTCCCTTATGGATCCCAAGTGGGCAATCGTATACTCAATACTCAAGTGTTGAAGCCGTTTGTGCGTCGATTGGATCAATCCCTGGGCAAATGGATGTAGCTGGTTCATCATATCTCGCTAGCAAATATGGTTACTCGAGAAGACATCTCTGGCTGTAAGTAAGAAAGATCATCACCTTACACACAAATCTAATGGTACAGAAACCTTCCCATCATTATCGCCATGTTTCTCATCTTCGGAGCAGTGCATCTGTTCGCTGCCGAGTATGTCCCCGCTCAACGATCTAAGGGAGACATTCTACTCTTCAATCGAGGGAAACAAAGGAGAGATGGTATCGATGAGATGGAGAAAGCTGCTTCTAAAAATGAAGTTCCTAAAGGTGGGAGAAATGAACGAAAAAAGTCTTTTCAGAAGAGGAGTCAAGTTGCTACCCGAAAGGATTCAGCGGTATTCCATTGGAACAACGTGAACTACAACATAAAGACCAAGGAAGGAACAAGAACCGTTTTAACTGACACATGCGGATGGGTCAAGCCCGGGACTCTGACTGCTTTGATGGTAACATCTGCCTCGTCCATCTTGTGCGAGCTGACTTGCTGTTCAGGGAGTTACCGGTGCGGGAAAGACAAGTTTACTGGACGTGCTCGCCTGTCGAACCACCGTTGGTGTAATCAGTGGTGATATGTTTGTTGATGGAAGGAAGAGGGATGTGAGCTTTCAACGAAAATCGGGTTACGTGCAGCAAGAAGATATACACCTTTCTACTGCAACAGTCAGAGAGGCTTTGGAATTTACTGCTGTACTTCGACAACCGAGAAACATATCAAAACAAGAGAAACTGGAATACGTCGACACTGTTTTGAGGACATTGGAAATGGAAAGCTACGCTGAAGCTGTTGTGGGAATCGCAGGCGATGGTCAGATTGGCAGCCATTTTCTATTGAACATTTGACTGATAGTGACAAGGACTGAACGTGGAGCAACGCAAGCGATTGACTATTGCTGTAGAGTTAGTGGCAAAACCGGAGCTTCTCCTCTTTCTAGGTATGTCAGCAGCTATTTTATTTTTGAAGTTCTACTAATTGCTTGAAACTTAAAAGATGAACCTACGTCGGGCCTTGACAGTCAAACAGCTTGGTCAGTTTGCATGCTTCTTAGAGACCTAGCAGACAACGGACTGGCTATTCTTTGCACAGTTCACCAGCCATCGTCCCAAATTTTCCAATTGTTTGATCGTCTATTGCTGTTAGACAAAAGTGGGAAAACACTGTATTTTGGCGAGATCGGAGCAGATGCCTCAACATTGATCGAGTACTTTGAGAGTAACGGTGCCGAGCCGTGCCCTCCAGAGAACAACCCAGCCGAGTGGATGCTGAATATTACAAGTGGTGAGGCAAGCTCGGGGCTCAAAGATTGGTCCTGCGTATGGAACGGATGTGAGCAGAAACAGCAAGTTACGCAATACCTTGAGGCTTTGAAGTTTAGATGCTCAGACGCTGAAGCAGGGGGAGAGTCTGATGTGCATGGAGCTAAGTATGCTACATCCTATTGGAGTCAACTTCTCATAGTATCGAAGCGGATGTTCCAAGAGTATTGGAGAGACCCAACCTACATCTATTCCAAGATATCTCTTTGCGCTGGTGTGGTATGTAGCTCTCCAAAACGTGTTCCGCAAAGGGTTTTCTAATTATACACAGTCCCTTCTCAATGGTCTTTCGTTCTACGACACGAGATTGGACATCCAAGGATTGACGAACATATTCTTCTCTGTTTTTCTCATCAGCCAACTGTTCAGCACTGTTGACCAACAAGTAATTCCGCGTCTAACTTCCAGCCGAGCGCTCTTCGAAGCTCGAGAAGGAAGAGCGAAAACATATTCTTGGACGATGTTCATCGCAGCAAACATACTTGTGGAACTCTTTTGGCAAACTATTGCCTCTATCTTGATTTTTGCCACCTGGTATTATCCCACAGGCTTATGGAAGAATGGGGATCCAAGTTTTGGAGCTGTCGAGAGAGGTGCTCTGGTCTTTGGGCTTATCTGGTTGTTTTGTCTGTGGATCTCCACCTTCTCGCAAGCCGTATCAGTTGGAATTGAGCATGCAGAAACGGCGGTTCAAATTGCAACGCTCTTGTTTTGGCTATCGCTTGTTTTCTGCGGGTAAGCGCTACGAATACCATGAATGACACTGCTAATGTATCGACAAAGTGTTCTCGTATCGCCTAAAGACCTTCCACGTTTCTGGATCTTCGTATATCGCGCTTCCCCGCTTACATATTTCATCGACGGAATTCTTGCAGCCGGGCTTGCAAACACATCTATACGGTGCTCAGAAATAGAGTTTCTACGCCTTAATCCACCATCAGGCTTAACTTGCGGAGACTACTTAGCGCCCTACATTCAGTTCGCCGGCGGTTACGTTAATGATACTGCCGCACTCACCGAATGCCTGTACTGTCCCTTCGCTGATTCAAACAGTTTCTTAGCAAGCCGCGGTATTAATCTTGTAGGTCTATGGAAAAACTTTGGATATTTGTTGGCCTATGTCTTCTTCAATGTTGCAGCAACATTCTCAATCTTTTGGCTTGCCAGGGTTCCCAAAAGGAAGGATAGTGGTGGAAAATGAAACTTCAATAGAAATTGTGAGTTGGAAATAGTCGAGCAACGCAGTCGTGCCCTTCGAATATCAATAGACAGTCGTTATCTCCATATATACAATTGTTCTTGGCCTCTCAACATTTCTAGAAGTAGTGAAATTAACGAAATTAGATTGCAAAACAAGGGTGCGGCGAGGCTGAGAAGAACGCTTGAGGGTGTAGTGACAAAGTGGTATCATAGATTTGAAGAACCCCTGGATGGGTGTGGTGGGGTGGGTACTCGCACTCCAATGTGTCTCCCGATTTGTGCGGCGAAGCAACGATAGGCTGCCATCCAACTGAAATATGCTTAACACTCCGCGCTGACAATGGCGGGTCTGTGATACAACATTCAGTGGCTCTCACCTCAATTACGCGGGCCTCATTTCACACCTCTGCGAACAAGTGTTGCCGCCCGACCCCCGCCGTCACACCAGAAATACGCTGTTGGCTATGCTTACCAAGATGATTTAACTTCAGCAATTTCAGGCCCTTTGGAGAGAGGAGTTGGAAAATACCAAACCCATAATTAACATTCTTCAGATGTCAGACAAAGAAGATGCGAGCTATTCTAATACAGATGCTTTTATGAACTTGAGAAAACAAGCGCACGCAAGGAGCACGTTGCTTCCAGCAAGATGACTGCGAAGCCTGCTTCCGACAGCTCTTTTACAGATACGGGTAGCACTGATAAAGTTGTCAATAGCTCATTAAGTTATCAACCATAATCGCAGGCGTTGACGTCCACTACAAGCCCGCAACTCCAGAGATCACGAAAGGATATGATGCTTTCCGTGGCCTACTTAGACAAGTAGTGCTATCACCTTCGATGATGGAGATTGAGAGCAAGCAAGACGATGTCACTACGCTTGCGAGCCAATTTCGAGAAGCAATGTGGGGTGCTTGCATGAATCGCTCTTTATTCGTCAGTGCTTCTGGTACTTTTGGACTTGGACCATATTTCATGAGACAAGGAGATGTCGTTGCTACTGTATATGGGTTGCAGTTCCCAGCTGTATTGCGACCTCTTGGTAATGATTATTTCTTTCTTGGTACCGCTTACGTGCACGGTATCATGCATGGTGAAGGTATAACTAAGCACGAAGCTGCAGGTGCGCCAGACCAAAGATTTCGAATCCGGTGACGAGGGTGGTCGTCAGACGCTGCTGTGAACGTGTGTGTGAATCGGGACGGGTACATTGAAGTTCATCGCAAAGATCATTTCGATTGGATATTCTGTCTCGCTGTAATGGCGTCGAGGCAAAAGTCCCTCTGTCTCCCTTAACCCGTTTTCTAACTCAACGCAATAAACTTTCCTCCCTTAACTCTCCTCCCCTCTCTATCCAAGTTTTAAGCCGCAACGGGCTTTCTTCTCCTAAACTCCATCACCGTCTTCAAATCAGGATAACAAACCATATCACCCCACGTATTCTCCGGCTTCTTCACTTCCCCGCCACCCATATATCTAAACTCCCAACTTCTCAGCAATTCAATAAGAATGACTTTGATTTCATTACTAGCAAAGAATCGCCCAGGACAAGCATGGTTTCCATGTCCGAAGTTCAATGAATCGGGCGAGGTGGTGACGTATAGATGTTTGTTTTCGTTGCCGGGGATTCTGCGCAGCTTGTAGAAGCGGAAACCGTCGAAAGTGGAGGGTGGGAGCGGAGTATGGTCTGGCGTTGGGGTGAATATGGCGTTTGTGGGGGAGTTGTGGATTGCCCAAGCTGAAAAGGCAAAGCGAGTTCCTGTTGGGAGGGTGTGACCAGTGGAGAGAGTGAGGGATGAAGTTGTTACACGGACGTTCGCCGCTACAATACGTTGTCAGTACATCTGCCTCTTTCAGTTAAACAAGGCCTTACGTAGCTGTGGTGGAGTGAAACGTTGGCTCTCTTTTAGAAAGCTGTCGAGTTTCCAGAGCTTAGGCATGCTTGATTTTTTGAGAGTCATGTGTCCATCCCCATCAATATCTTGGCCATCCTCGTCAATCACTTGGTGAATCTCATCACGAAGTGGTTGGATGTACTCAGGATGAGCCGCAAGATCGTAGATGGCCGATGTGGTGGCCATAGAAGAAGTGTGGATGGCGGCCATAGAGAGTGCAATTTGGTTGCGGCCTAAGATCATAGGATCACAACGTTCATCTTCCTTCATGTACTTCAACATCCAAGAAATGATGGTACCCTGCTCATCCTCTGAATCGTCTCGACGAAGTTTTTCATTTCCCTCCTTAGCCAGCTGAGCATCCAAAATTGGTTTCAGTAGTTGAGCTCCTCGTTTCCGGAATTGTTTCAGTCTCTTCAATTCAGGAAGAAAGGGTGCAACGATGTCACGGAGATATCTGGGGTAGGAGTTGATGGCATCTCTTGCTGCAATGCCGAACATCGTACTCATGACCGTTGCTTGAATCCATTCCTCATCACGGCTTAGGGGACGACCCACAAAAACACGTCCACTCAATAATGCAATGATGCGGGTGAGTTTGTGGTACGCTGGTATAGGAGTCCAGTCTTCGCACGGTCCGAACTCCTTGTCGAATCCGTATTGGATTTCTTCTTGAAGGTCATCGAGCGTACTGGCAATGTGCCTCGTCAGATCGACCTTGAGGACTTGGATCACTTCCCATCCTTCGCTTCCAATTTGAGTATGTTTGGACGCGAATCTTTGTTGCATGTCCTTCATGAATGAAGCCTTGTCCTCAGGCAAGTTTCGAACTTCATTGATGACTGATATGGGAAGAATAACAAGAGGTGCATCTGTGTTGATCAAGAAGGGACTGTCTGGGTACTGTTTGGGGTTAATACTGGATGAGTCCGACGATAAAACTGTTTGCTCACCTTCAATGTTCCTTCAACCAAAGCGTGCCTATGGTCTTCTTTCTTGCAATAACCACCGCCAACAATAGGCAAGTTCAGTTTCTTAGGACGTGCAAGCAAGAAATGAATGACCGATATCAGGATGAAGAGTGTGGCCCCACTAAAAAGTAACGGTGAATTCAGGGCGAGGTCTCTGATGGCATTCAACACCATACTGAATTGAGGCGCCATGTTGGCAGGGAGTAAGTGCTTCATCAAGAACTGTTCGAAAGAGACTTTTTTCAGTGTAGGTGTGTTGATGGGTTAAAGAAGTGAAAGTAGGGTTATCAAGGAAGCCGACTTCCTTTCTATTTAACCTGAAAGGGGTTAGCCGGAGTCTTAAGATTGAGCGATGTTGAACCTAGAAGGGACCACGCCAGTTTTCAGCGACTTTGCCTCCAACATATCCAACACGCATATATTCCTTCCCAGAAGCTTCTCTGTGGCGTATTCAGACGCTTTGCCGTTGTGTTGATAGACTCGTTCCGGTGAACCCAACCAGCCCCATGTTCGGTGAAGACCATACGAAGTGCCCTTTGAAATTCCCAGCCATTTTATTTGATTCCAAAATTCACCCCTGTAATCTGTCAAACTTACCAACTAATTGTCGTAATCTTTGCGACGCTCCGATTAGTAGTGCTATCCGAGCTGTCGCTTTGTGGCTTGAATGTTGGATAGATAGTGGAGTGGAGCCGACACAACACGTTCGGAGAGTAACTGGCTGCAGAGGGAGGCATGATGGTAGTATTTTGGTTTCGAGGAGTTGAATGCTCTATATGTCGTGGGACATGTAGGCCCAAGTCTACAAAAGTTGCGTAATCCATTCCCGGACGAAGATGTCAAGATTTATGAAAAGGATAGTGATTTTGATTGGGCCCACTTTATGAAGCATAAAGTTACACATCAGGTTAGTAACCAATATTCTGGCGTCTTAAACTGAGAGCAAGAGGTCATAATTCATTGGAATTTAATGCAAGCCTGCTCTATGATTCCTTCTATGCTCTTTAAGCATTTCCATATCTCTTGGTCGATTTTGCGCACGTGAATGGTATCACGTGAACGCAATCTTCAATGTTTCCAAGGTTGTTGGAGTACACTCGAACTTATGTACAAGCCACTACTATTCTTAAGTGCCGCAAAATCAGTTCCTGGTGTGATCGAAGACGACATTAGATATGAGACGTGCACTCGTCGAGTCTGCCCCTCCAATTTCAAGTTGCCTAGGGCTTTATTGATCGTCGACAGGACGTACATTGTCAATTCTGCGGAATGGATCTCTACATGAAGAAAACCTACAAATATATCTCTCTTGGTACTAGTCGGTCTGAGATCAGGCATTTGACTCTGCTTCCTGGAGCGGTAGGCTCAGATGACCGTGCCGAAGTAAATTCGATGACCTTGACGAAAGTCTCATGCCCAAGCTACGAAGCCTTGTCCTATACTTGGGGAACCGAAAAGGATCGGCGTATTGCCTGCCTATATAAACAGCGACCACGATAACCCAAAATCGGATCGCAAAACGTGAATTCCACTGGAGGCTCAGATGACGTTGCTTTCATATCAGTTGCGCAGACTTGCTGACGCTTTGGAAGATTTCCGCTATCTTGATCGACTTCGAACAACTTAGATTGAGGCCAAGAAGCTAAGACAAAGAACCATATCCTGGCGGCCGTATGCAACCAACGGAAAGTGTTAATGAGCAATGGCTGAGTGATTCAGCCATACATCATGTTGCGATAGACTGATAGATGGTTTCGATCATCCACTCGAAAATGTTCTTCCCGAATTGAATTTGTGCAAGAGCTCTACAAGTTGATCTTCTGATTTCCGGACATTGTTGACCTGCCTAATCTGTCAAACGCTCGTTTCACGCACGCCATCAACATTCCATACACGCTGATGGCACAACGCAGATTCTTGTCAACCAAAGAAAGTCGAATGGCTCTAGGCTCACCTCTATCCCATACTGGTGATGAGATCGTGGGCTTCCCGGGATGTGGTTCACTGATGGTGCTGCGGCCGCAGTTGAATGGGAGACATGTTACTAGCGGAGAGTGTCTTGTTCATGGTCTGATGCACGGACAAGCATTTTTTGGTCTTCCGCTTGCTAATTAGAATTATACAGAAGCTGGATGACGCAGCAGGGCGATGGGATCCAGTGTATCGAGATACACAAACAGGAATTGACCAGGCTATCGATCCAAGATTCGATGGCTACGACATGAAGCTCTGACGGGAATGAGGCGGCCATACACCCACGAGTCTACGGACATCGAGGTTACCGGAGTGTTTATGTATACTTCAACCCGGTTCGTCGCAGAAAACATTGAAGTGATTTTGAAAGACCTTATACACTTTGACCTCGAGTAGGAGAGTAGTTAATTCTGCTACCTATCACCAGCTACAAGACTAGATAGCTAGAATGTATATGCCTCGTACTGTACAGTACACCCAAAGACCTCCCACTATCAACTTAGCAGCCCAGGACAACAATCTCCGTGGCTTGTGAAGTCGATATTTTGAAAATTTACTGTGTGCGGACCTTGTTGAGGTGATGCAGAGTCTAGAAAAATCTGGTAAGGATGACTTAATACATGACGAGACTTTTTAGATAGGTGTTTCCTCGGAAGCCTTCATCCCCGAGGAAGTTGGGGTTGATATCACATCAAGTCCTCAATCTTGGTCGAGTTCAGATACAAAAAAAAGGCAAAATTAACTCTAAAATATACGGCATCTCTCCCGAGATCATCTCTAAGCCTCCTCTGACACAAGATACAAACAATAAATAATACAATTCGATGATGGTAGAGCAGTATCAACGCCAAAATCACGTGCACCTTCAAACCTCGGGAGCTAAGCGAATTTCCCCTGACTACTCACCTAGCCTACCACGACTTCACGATGTTGATATAGACTGAGAGTCACACTCACGGCACACACAGAGCAGTCGAAATCGAAATATGCCGTGTATAACAATGTGGGAAATCTCCCACTTTCTGGGGTTTTTCTCTTCACGAATACATCAACACAACTTCAATTCAACTCAACAACACGCTGATCGACAACGACAATACTCAAGCTCTTACTTCAAAAGAACGCTACCTATTCTAAACTGCTTTCCTCCATAACTTTCATTTTCTCGAACGAGAAGAGCCAATTTCTACAACGCACACAAAAAAACACACTCAACCGGATCCTCCCCATTTCAACACACGACAACAACAACAACAACCACCAATCTTCAACTAGAAGACCAACATGACGCCAACAATACACCCATCCCTCTTCGACTATTTCCTTCAAGAAGAGAAAGCTCAAAACATCCAACAATCACTCGACATGATGGACACCACTGCCGACATCCCCGCCACTGTAAGGAAATCTTTTTGGAAAAATAACGAGATTTGCTAACAAATTCATAGATCCAAATCGTCCGAGTCGCCCGGGACTTTGACATGGATATCACCGCCGTCCAAGATAAGATGAATATCACCAACGACAACAACACCACTGTAAGAATTCCTCCAATCCCCCAAAAATCCCAACTAAACATTTACAGACTCAAATCACCCCGTCTTCTCAGGACATTGAGATGGACGCCACTATCGACATTCTATGCTTCAATTTCCAAGATATGGACATTCAAGACACCATGGAGCTTGAAGCTCAAGGAACTACTAACCAAGAAATCGAAATGTCTGACGCCGACGAGGACATTCAAAGTCTAGAAATTGAGATGACTGATTCTGAGGTCACTACTACCTCGGTGGAAGTCGAGATGTCCGACAACGACGAGAACATTCTAGCTCGCGATTGGGTTGAGACTAGCCCAGAAGTCGAAATGTCGGACTCTGACGACAATAATAACGCTACTACCAATTCGGAAGAAATCGAAATGTCTGACCGCGACGAGAACAATGAAGCTACTACCGGCTCTGAGGATTTCGAAATGTCCGACACCGACAAAAACAATGAAAACACCACCAACTCCGAAGAAATCGAAATGTCCGGCTGAAGATCATGAAGGGTCTCAAAGAATCTTGCTGGGACCATCAAGCAGTCGAATGAACCGTTTCATGTCTTTGCTGGAAAGAAGAATGGTGATATGAAGAGTGTCAATGAGTTGGGGATTCAGAAGAGTGGGACAGAGATGGAGGTTGTGGATCTTGAGGAGGAGATACGCGACGATATGAGAGACAAGAAGACGATCGAGGTCGAGCAGTGTTGTGGAATTGAGCCTTGGATGTAAGCGAAGACATGCGAAATTCCTCGGAGGCTGTTGCAGGGATTCGGGTACGGAGGAGCAATCAGAATGAGTTGGAGGAAAGCCTTTTGTTGCGCGAATTTTTGTAAGGAGGGTGAGCGAAATCAATGACCATCAAAACCATGACTTTCCAATGCTGTGATTTGCCTCAAACCAAGTGAACGTTGTAACATAGCAGAAGTATTACCACGATGTCCTCTAGACAAACATAAGTGAAAGCAAAAACCAGCCCTCCATCTCTTCCTGATGACGTACTTTCATCTCGTCCTTGACTCTGATGATGATGTACGCATTCAAACCAGCTGATGTCCCCACAATGTCTTAGACAAAATGAATGTCTTCAATCCAGTATGTACTGAAGCGTACTATCCACATCGATAAGCAGAACAAAAAGCAATGAAACATCTCATCTTCACAGCCTCAAGCATCATTGACTCCAAGGTGCTTCGTACTTCATATGCCTCATCGCATCTCATTCTCAAAATATCTGCCCTCTCAGCTCGAAATGAACGCAGGAGACGAATCTGACGTTCTGATACGGCCTCTTGATGATGATGGATAACAACCACGAAGCAGTAACACACCACACGTGAAGGAAGCAGTGGTCGTTAAGGTTAGCCCAGTCGCTTAGGCATGCGAGTCAGCCTCAACACAGGGATCAGGGGTGGACTGGGAAGCCGAGTTTCAGGCACCGCGGCCAGTCGCAGCAGTCACCTGCAGCTCTGACACAGCCTAGCGATGCCGGCCGACGATAGGTGAGTGAGAGCTATCCAGAGCTCTCTTGATATCCATCTGACCTTCATAAACAACCGCTTACCCTCCTTCTTCTCCTCCTCTTAACACCTTCTCTTCTATTCATCAAACAACTTTCTCTTGTCCGACACCAAGAGATCCTACGGTACTCAACAACCCTCACATTCCACCCACCCCCACCAAGTAAACAATGGAATTCCCCTCCATCCGCAACCTCGCAACCCTTTTCTCCCAGCTCCCGCTCTTCTCCTCACCCCAAGCCTCCTCCTCCTCCTCCTCCTCCGCCGCCGCCATCCAACCCTTCGCAGACACCCCCTCCTGTCCCATCGACAGCCCAACCTCCTGCCAATCCGACTCCGAACCCAGCTGCTGCTTCGTCTACCCCGGCGGCCAACTCCTCCAAACCCAATTCTGGGACACGAACCCCACCGTCGGCCCCAGCGATTCCTGGACCTTACACGGGCTCTGGTATCCTCTTCCCCTTCTCCTTCCCCTCCCAAAATAAACCCATCAACTAACACCCCCACCCCACCGCAGGCCCGACCTCTGCGACGGCACCTACGACCAATTCTGCACCTCCGCGCCCCAATACCACAACATAACATCCATCATCTCTGCCTCGAACAACACCTTGCTCCTCGCCGACATGGAAAAATACTGGCTCCCGAACCGCGGCACATTGGAACATTTCTGGCAGCACGAGTGGAACAAGCACGGGACGTGCATCAACACATTATCCCCCTCCTGCTACGGTTCCAACTACTCTCCCGGTCAAGAAGTGGTAGATTTCTTCGCTAGGGCCGTGGAGCTGTTTAAGGGGTTGGATACGTATAAAGCGTTGGAAGCTGCTGGTATCGAACCTTCGTATCGGAAAAAATACACGTATGCTGAAATCGAAGACGCTCTTACCAGTGTGACGGGCAGCGCGGTGGTGTTGGGGTGTAGTAGAGGGGGCGTGTTGGATCAGGCGTGGTATAGTTTTCATGTGAAGGGGAATTTGCAGGGGGGCGAGTTTGTGGCGACGCCGCCGGCGGGGAAGGGGGGGAGGGGGAGTTGTCCGGAGAGGGGGATAAGGTATTTGCCTAAGTAAGTGGGAGAGAGGGGGTGTATGAGTATTGGGAGATAGGTTGGCTTGGGTTGGGGGATCGGATGGATATCGAGATTGTTTGAGTTTGCTGGCATTGGGAGTTATAGCTTTTGCTGGGTATGGTATGAATAGATACCAAGATTGCTTGCTTAGCTGGGCTTCGTTTTTATAGATATTTGACTGGGGGGATAAATGGATTATTTCCCTGCCATAGATACCCCCATACCTCCCTTACTTAACATTGTGATTTAAGTTCGGGACTTTTTGGTTGTTCGACGACTATTACCGAACTTGTTGGCAACTACCCTCAATAATAAGCTAAACAACAGGTGTTGAACCTCAATCAGCTAAAGCAAGTGTTGCGTCAAAGCAAAGCGACTAGATATAAGTTCCTGGAAGCGAGGCAGAATATGAAGGCTAAGTTCGAGTAATAGCTGTCAGAGCACGAGATCAGGACGGAGATTTGCAACAGCGGAATGTGTAACACAAAAACAGACAACGTCACTAAGTCGAACAATATTAGGCTCAAATTAAAAATTCACTCCATGGCCAAGAAAGATAAAAGAGAAACCACTTTTACTACCTAAAATATATACACCTCCCGATTACCCTTCCCCTTCCCCGATCCCCTTTCCTTTCCCCTTCCCCTCTAATCCTCAATCCCCCCATCCGTAATGCACCCATGACTCGCATCCTGCACCATCATCGCATACTTCGCCAGCGTCCCCTTCTTATACTTCAGCGGCTTCGGCACAAACTCCTTCCTCCTCCTCACCAACTCCCCCTCATCGACCACCAAATCCAGCACCCTCTTCTCCGCATCAATGACAACCTTATCCCCATCCCGCACCAACCCAATAGGGCCCCCCTCCTGGGCTTCAGGAACAATATGACCGATCAAGAACCCGTGACTGCCGCCACTGAACCGTCCGTCCGTGATCAGCGCGACGTCTTTACCAAGTCCCGCGCCCATGATCGCTGACGACGGTTTCAGCATTTCAGGCATCCCGGGTCCGCCTCTAGGGCCCTCGTAGCGGATCACGACAACAGTCTTCTCGCCCTTCTTAATCTCGCCTCTCTCGAGCGCGGCCACCATATCGTCTTCCGCATCGTAGCACTTCGCAATACCCTCAAACCTCAGGCCTTCCTTGCCGGTAATCTTGCCCACGGAACCGCCGGGCGCGAGCGAGCCGCGCAGGATTTGGATATGGCCCGTTTTCTTGATCGGGTCGGAGAAGGGACGGATGATCTGCTGGTCGGTGGGGAAATCGGGGAATGCTTCCAGGTTCTCGGAGAGCGTCTTGCCGGTGACGGTCATGCCGGAGCCGTCGATGATTCCTTCTTTGAGGAGGAACTTGAGCAGGGAAGGCGTGCCGCCGATCTTGAAGAGGTCGTGCATGACGTATTTGCCGGAGGGTTTGAGATCAGCCAGGAAGGGGATGCGGTCTGATACTGATTGGAAATCGTCGATGGTTAACTTGACGCCTACGGAGTCGGCGATGGCGATCAGGTGCAGGACGGCGTTGGTCGAGCCTCCGGTGATGTTGACGAGGATCATGGCATTTTCGAAAGCTTGTCGGGTCATGATGTCTTTTGGGCGGATGTCTTGGACGAGTAGGTTGCGGATGGCGGCTCCGGCTGCGTGGCATTCGTCGTATTTGGCTTGGGATTCGGCGGGGTTGGAGGATGAGCCGGGGAGGGTCATGCCCATTACTTCGATGGCGGTGGCCATGGTGTTGGCAGTGTACATTCCACCGCAAGCTCCTCCTCCAGGACAAGCGTGTCGGATGACATCGAAGCGTTGCTCTTCGTTGATTTCACCTGTGAGAAATTGGCCGTAGGCTTGGAAAGCCGAGACGATGTCGATATCGGCATTGTTTTGTGTGGCAGCACATCCAGGCTTGATAGATCCTCCGTAGACCATGAGTGAAGGACGATTTACTCGTCCAATGGCCATCATTACACCAGGCATGTTCTTGTCGCAACCTGGGATGGAGATATTGGCATCGTACCATTGACCGCCCATCACCGTCTCGATCGAATCTGCGATCAGATCTCTTGATTGCAGACTATATCGCATGCCCTTTGTGCCCATAGAGATACCGTCCGAGACTCCAATGGTGTTGAATTGGTATCCGATCAAGTTTGCCTCTTCCACGCCCTTCTTTACACGATTGTTGAGGTCCATCAAGTGCATATTGCACGGATTCCCCGAGTACCATACTGAGGAGATACCGACTTGTGCCTTATTCAATCCTTCCTCAGTCATGCCAGTGGCGTAGAGCATAGCTTGGGAAGCTCCTTGGGACTTGGGTTGTGTAATGGCCGAAGAGACCTTGTTGAGCTTGGGTTCGTCATTCTGGGCCGATCGAGCTGCAGAGCTTGAAATGCCGCGACTGCGACGTATTAGAGCTGTCCGCAGATGGGGGATGGGAGTTTACATGTATTTTGAAGCTGTTCTGGAAGTCATACTTGCACCAGCTCTCAATTGGGGCAGCATAATTGCGACGAAGCTCAGTTGAAACCAATGACTTTCGGCGATTTCAATGCTTTGACACCAATTGAGCTTCAAACGGTGCTTCACCTCAACTGAGCTGCACTCCCTCTCGTCGATGTTCGTGGAAGCAAGAGACGGGATGAGATGATTCACACTTCAAACAGTCATAAAGTTCGATCTTACTTAATTAGCTTCGCAAGAACCGCATCCGCCATCGGAAGGTAAAAAATAAATAAACGAGTCCCTGTGACATTTTGGATTTCCTCCCGTCCCCAAAACATTTTCATCATTTTTCTGCCACCATCTCTGACCGCCTTCCAGCACCGCCCCACTTCCTCGGCCTCCCCCACTCTTGCCACCCATTCACAAGCTTCACTTTACTCACCCTCAGCCTTGTCCTACTCGCAAGAGCCTAAACCCAAAACAGCCCACCATTCCGCCAAAATACCCCAGACTTCTCCCGTTTGAGAAGAGGCCTTGTAGCGACGACACATGCGAGCGTGAAAGTCTAGCTCCCTCCTGAAGATCACCTCGGCTTGCACACAACAACTGTGGAGAGAGACCGCCGTGACACGAAAGGCTGAGGAATAAATACCTACTTATACGTCGTGCTGGGTCCTCGTTCACTTGGGGAATTTATTCGTTTGTTTGTGCTTCGGGACTTGTTGTTTCGGGACTTTTTGCTTTTGTTGCGGTTACATCAACATCCCTATTTGAACCCCGCATTGAGAGCTGTCTTTCTCAACAATTACCATCACAAGAGACGAATTCACAATGGCTGCCCCGGCGGAAGTTACCTTGAAGGACCTCACTGGAGAATGGGTTATGGTGAGGTTCAATTCTTCCATCCAACCTTTGATTCGAGTCCAAGAAACATGCCACTTCACTCTCCCCCTCCCCCTCCCTCTCCCTCCCATCACCACCACCATCCTAACAAAAACCCCCCGCAGAACAAAACCCTCTCCGACGACACCGACGCGATCCTCGCGCTCCAAGGCATCGGCTGGTGGACCCGCAAAGCCATCGCGCTCGCCACCGTCACGCTGCACGTCAAACAATACGTCGACGACAACAAGCACACGCACATCGACATCGAGCAGACGGCGACGGGCGGCATCAAAGGCACGGCCGAGCTGAGAGAGCTCGATTGGGTCGAGCGGACGCATAATGATCATGTTTTTGGGGACTTGAAGGGCAAAAGTCGGTGGTTGGGGTTGGAGGGCGTGGAGGATCCGTTTTTGAAGGATGGGGTGGGTTCCCTCGCTCTTTTTCTTTGGTCTATGTTTTGATCCCTCTGCTGTTTTCCTGAATCTGCGGTCTTGCAGTCGTTCAATTGGGGAGAATGAGGCTGATAAGTTGAAATAGTGGCTAGACGGCGACGACGAGACCTCAGGTCCAGCGGGCGAGAAACATATCGAGAGCTGGGCGGCGAACGAGGAGAAGGGATGGGTTGCAGACCAGATTTGGGGCTTTGCTATCATTGATGGGAAGAGATACTATGTTCGAAGAGTGGTTGTCACGAAGGGTGATACGGTGCTGAAGGCTAGACTTGTTTACAACTGGAACGGGAAGAAATAGACGATAGAGCTGGACTTGGCTCAAGGGCATGGGAATCGGGAATATACATACTCCTAATTGAGGAACATATGTATCGGTATAGGCGTTCGCTCGTTTCAGTCGACTAAACGCAGATTATTCATATGTATCTCTGTCCAAGTTCCAGGTGCCTGTTGTCTGTTCAATGTGATGAATGAGTGTTGATTGAGTGTCTGACTAGAATACAAACTTGCTGAACAGTCGCAACCTTATCAACAACAAGGAAACCTCTTTGCTACGATTCCATCTCAAGTACCCCGTGAAAGGAATTCGAAATTCCAATAAGCAATCGTTGCACTAAAACCAAACGCCTTGATTCATCCTCCACCCAGTCATAAAGCACACTGGTCTACCAAAGAACCAAACTTCGACCTCAAAATGTAAAAGTGCTTGCTCACGTATCTCGTCCACCCACACCTCCAACCATTGAGTTCAAAACATTGGCACTGCTTGCAGCTGGACCAAGTGATATTTGCCATCCTTGCTAGTTTTATTGCCGGCATCGAAAAACTCGTTTTGAAATGCCGGCGTGCCAATGCAAAGGCCATGGAAGTCTTTGTCACAAGCCATGATAACGGTCATATTGTGAGTCGAAGCTGGGTCACCTCGAAAGTCATACTCATCATCCGTGACTGGCGATACACCCACAGTGAAAATGGAAGCATTGCCACTGTTGTGCGTGTCCGTAATGTGGAAACCCATCGGTTTAAAATGAGAGGTTGTCGAATCATTTACGAAAGCCAAAGGAAAGGGATACAAAGTGATAACTTCAAAATTGTGATAAGTTTCTTGAACCATTGACACTTTGCCCTGCGATTCGAGTCTCAAACGAGAGTCTGGAGCCAGAGCGAACAAGGCAGGATTCTTAGTATTCTGTTCAAGGCCAATATATGTGATAGTCGACCAAGAATCCGAAGTGCTGTTGTCGACGGCGTAACTGGTCGTCCCGTTGTCAAACAAAACCATCAGCCTGAAGTCTGATACCGTGGTGGGTAGGAATTCAACAGACGTTACTGTCTTATGAAATGTCAACAATGTATGGTATTTCAGTAAAGAGTACTCACTGCTGTTGCTACACTCAATGTCTTTGGTCTGTAATAGCAACTACAAGCTGAGCTGTATTTGTCCTGGATCTTCTTCTCGCTATCTATTCCCGAGCCACACGCTAAGCTGATGGACTCGGGAACGATTGTCGGAGTAACGGTATAATGGCCAGATTTATCTGAAGTGATAGACTTGACAGAGGCGACAGTGGTGGTGGGGTTGAGCTTGTTGTTGTTGAAATGGGTGTATGTTGAAGTGACTGTAGCTCTGGGGGGCTGTCAGTCGGAACGATTTGCATTGGAAGTTGGAAAACTTACATCACTATTGCTGATGCCACTGTCTTTGCCATGAAACTCTGGCAGCTTAATCGCCCTTTGGAGTCATCAAGTGCTGCGTGGAAACAACTGTCTTTGTTACAGTCAATTCTCGCCTCCAGGTTCTCCGCAGCCGTAAGCCCACTTATGGCGAAGGTACCAAGAAGCAAGGAGTACTTCATGGTGACGCTGATCGAAGCAAGTACTTCTAAAGGGTCCCCGTGCTCGAATAATGAATCGACGAAGCAAGAACGCAAGTGGATATGATAGTTGTTGATGGATGTTTGATGAATGATGCGAATGTTTGATGATGTTGAAGAAACAAGAAGAGGAAGAAGAGCAAGACGAGGAATCAATAGTTCTAGTGCAGAGCTGCGAAGGAAGGTGCGTTGTGTTGATTTTGCGGAGGGAAGGAAGCAAAAAGGGAAAGAGGCACTTGCCGGATTTGAACATGGGAATGAGCATGATTGTTTTCGGGGAAGATCGAGGAAGGTACGATTTTGGATGCTCAGTCTCCTCTTGAACATCAGCTTGTCCGGACCTACCTAGGTAGATTGGGCATCTTGTGAGGAAGCTTAGCCTTTCGAGATACAAGATAGACCTTGGGGGAAAGACAATTCAGCTGCTTAGATTCAGCTGGAGACACGATACAGATACCCTGCTTCACGTCTTTTAATCACCAGCAAAGCCACTGTGAACACACTTCCAGTTCTGAACACCAAAGGAGCAATCACGACCGTGCCCAGGTGAAATCTGATCGAGCACCTTCACGTGACACCTCACTTGCTAGAGCCCGGAGCATCTTTTAGTCGAGAGTGTGTAGAAGTTCATATTGTCGTAGCCTAGTTTACTAAGATAAAGATAAGGACAATGGAAATAGCGTCCAAGCCTACCTACGAATTCATGTATTATATCTGGTGCAGACTTTCAGCCGGCAAATACCTAGACCAGTCATTCTGCACCGAATTGGAAATCATCTCGAAATGGCTCTCATACACATAACTCGATTCCGAATCATATGTTTAAAGGCACTCTGCAGTGACTATAGAAAATCTGGGCGAAAAGAATGTTGATGCAAAGATAAATTGGACAGCGGAGTATTTACTCCGTAGGAATTGACTCGAACTTCGAGGGTTATCGCATGCACAATCAAAATACAAATTAGATGCCAATGATCGCAGCAAATGCAACTTCATAGTCGGTAATTGACTCCAACCAATGACTTGAAGTTTCCCGGTATTCCAACACGGTGCAAACGAAACTGGATAGCAACCAATAACAAGTAACTTCTCCACAATTCAAAGCACCCTGGTGCAGCACAAACGAATCTTGATGGATTATTCGTCAACTTCCACGTTCTGTTGGGACGGCAGTCGTGTCTTATAGAGATGAATACGACTCAAGTCTTCAGGTCCAGAGCGCGAGACTCCGGCAAAAGTAATTGCGGGGCTTTGACAATGTCCACATTTCGATACTTTCTCTTTGCCACTAGCAACTCGTATTTCAGAACATAAACTCAAAACATGTACTACTTGCCACCACCAGCTTGTAACCAACTTAAGTCACACATCAAGTCCGGTGCTGCTTTCCGTCAGCCGGAGCAACACTCCTACACTGCATTCAAATGATGGAAATCATGCTGGCTTCCTTCAAAGCGGATGTTAAGTCCGACGAACTGAGGTCATTGCCAACTCGGCTCGGTACTCAGCCTCAAGTCGTACACTTTGTCAAGGCAGATGTTGTCCAACGTCAGGATCCGGCCGCCCTTTTCTTCTTCTTCGACTTGGAAGGCTTCACGGCCTGGCGCATGACGTCCCACGTGGGGGTCATCAGGCTGCATGCACGATGTGTCTCCCGTGTCTCCCGTGTCTCCAATCATTCCTTCTTGCCCTCGAAACTCGGCTTGAGCGGTCTGCGTTTGCTTCTCCTCACCAGAAGAGTTCATGAAAACTCGATCTCGAGAATGAACTCTTATACCAGAAAATACCAAACTTCATAATAGCAAAACATATTAATAGACTACACGTGATGTATTGATGAGCAGTTCTAGACTGGTCTCTGGAAATCGAGATCCTGGTAAATCGATTTGGTTGCAGGGGATAGACAGGCTGCCGGTGTCGGGAGCTCACATGTGCTGCACAGCATGACGGAATGAACAATGCTGGATGGAGGACAACTCATCATCGTTCCCCATCAATTGAATGTCTTGCATTGTACCGTTTCATCCTAAATGCTGACATTCATCGTCATTCGTAACTTGGAGTTCGATATCAAAATAGAATCGTCGACGCGCAATAGTTCATGAGGCTCCATTATTCTTTTTTGAAGTGTCAGATATGGGTCTGGGTTGACCGCTACTAACTGCGAATGTGTTAGCCGGCAAAACCTTCAAAGTTGACATCTGCTTTCCACGCTCGACAAAACATCATCCGGAGCGCGTCTTGGTCTTTTCTTTGATATGCTTCGCTATTGACGACAGCGCACTCCCATTCCGCAGCTCAATTCATCTGCTGCGACGCTCAACATGGACGAGGCGACTCGGTTGGTAACAGAGCTCCAGTCGAAATTGGTCGAGCTCGATCAGCGCATCTGGCAGTACCGACGAGACATGGCTTCAGAATTCGACAAGTACGCGGAAGATTTACTGCGCGACGTTCCTAAAGAAGTCTCCGAAACTGTCTCCAAAAGTATCGCAGAGTCAATGAAGGGATGCAAGTCTTTATATCCTGACAGCGAGGCCCCTTTTGAGTCATGCGCGACAGGCACCCACATTCTCCCAAATGGCAATAATATACAGCAGCCTTCCGTCTCTCCAGCTCCGATCTCTTTCTTGCGACCAGCATCAAACGAGGAAGACAGTCCGCGGAGTCCGCACGAGCGAGAGAAGGAGTTTCGAGGACTGTTCACTCCAAGTTACCTCCCACTTCTTGACAGTACAAATCGCAACGAACGCAGATCGAGTGCCGACCTAGCTTCCCCACCTCCTGGCAACATAAGCCCACAACCAAAAGCAATGGATCCCTTACATGTCGACGCAAGTACAGATACCAGATCGTTGGTGACCTCACCAGAAACAACCCGCCCTTCAACCCCAAGACGAAGAAATACAGACGAGGCGTCCGTGGGTTCAGATTGGAGTGAGGGTACAGCAAGACGCAGTGCTCTCCGACGATCCTCGAGTTCTTCTAGGCATAGTCCGCGCCGAGTCCGCTTCGAGGTTGCCGGCGAAGAAGTCCTACCTACGGCATCCCCTCGAGCTACAAAGTCGGTCTTGACAGAAGAAATACCTCCTACACTTGGTGACGATATGGATGAGGAGGCTGGATCTGAGCAGATTGAGGATGTTGATGAAGCACCACCAAAGCGTATCTCGTCATCGCAGGCATTGAGAGCATTGTCACGGTCACCTTTAGTGGACGATGGCACTACATGGACCACCGTCACAGCACCACCAGATGGTTCAGCTTCTGTGGCTACAACTAATGGGTTTTCATTAGGCGAAGAAGACGACAGTCCGCCATTGGGCAATGGTATTTCACAATTGGGATCTAGTGATGCTCTGGGTCCTTTGGGAGCGGGTAGCAGCTTGGGTCAACTGGCGGTGAATAATGGAATTACCAAGAATGAGGTAGAAACCACTTCTGATGATGATTTGCTTGATATGCCTCTTTTGAGACGTCAAGGTCCGTCTCCAGCAAGCATGCTCTCACCTGTCAAGATGCTTTCACCAGCAAACCCAACAGACATCAGTAACAACAAGTCGCCAACGGCATCGACGAGACCAAGCAGAGCTTGGCAAGATCTGGAGAACCTCGGTCACCACCACACAGGATCTAGAGGCGAGGATTTGAAGTTCGATGCTGGGGATGATGACGAGATGTTCAACTTCGACGAGAATGCTGAACGCCAAAGCTCACCAGCTGGTCAAGACGATGAGGAGTATGACGATTTCGACACCGATGCACCAGTCTCCCCCATTTCCAAGGAATCTGTCAGCAGATTCTCAACTTCACCAGCACGTGACATCATTCGTCCTTCCCCACCAAAAAATGCCGTTCCCACTACAAAGGGTGTTGTTGGATCCTACAAAGGCCATCCATTCAGTATGCCGATCGTCAGCCCAGATATCCATGCACAAGCAGCAAGTTTGGGAGATGTGAACACATTCGTAGGAAGTGTTGATGGCCGCAGCGGAGTCGACGAAAGTGACCTCAAGAGCTTCAAGATGTCTGGTGGTATCGGTAGCTTCTCCGGCACCCCAAGAAGTCTGAGTGAGCGAATGATTATGGAGGATATGAGACAAGCAGAGGCTGCTAAGAAGGGTGAATAATACGGAGATCATCGCAAGGCGTTCAGCGGGTTGTATTTGCATTGTGTGTAGTAATGTTTGTTGCATAGTTCCGGCGTTGAGAGGATGGTGGAAAGCCTCTGATCTTATGGTAGTAAGATGACTCGCAAATGGCTGGGTCTGGGTCTGGGTCTGAGCTTGCGAGCCGGGCTAGCGTTATATTTGAGGTGGATGCATGCATGCATTACATAGCGAAAATTCATGAGCTTTTGAGGATAGGTATGGGTGCTGCTGTTTTGCAAAGTGTAGATGAATGTTGAGAACCTGAGAGTGAACTAGAACCCCAACCCTACATCGCTAATCAATTTCTATAGATCGAGTTGAGATATGACTGGCAACTACTGCTTGTACAGACCTTCCTCATAATCCGTGCTTCGACTGCTTTCCTTGCTTGGAAGAGGCACGTGATGGCTTTAAGCACTAGCGTACCTACGCGAGCGCGTGCTAAATGTGAGTGATCGGAATCTGACATGTGGTGGTCTTCGGTTCTACAACATTTCATGAAGTAAATGACTTTTCTGCATCAAAGATTGTTCTTTTCCACACGCCTACATTCAGACCAAACGAATCAAGCAAACCAAGAACAGAATCTGCTTGCTCTAAATTCAAACAAGCAGCATGGCAGACCAGAACTCATATCTGGCGTACAAACGCGACACCAGACAATTGCTATTCTGGGTATGTTTGATTTCATATTATCTCACGCGATAGCGCTACCAAGACCGAAAGCAATTGGATATTATTTGTTTGCAGGTCCTGAAGTATTCCTGGCCCTGGCAACTGGGCCTGACTAAAGTCGCAGAGGAGATATCCGTTGTTTATCTAGCCTCCACGCACAAATCCCGTCTGTTGCTGGGTGTTTTCTGGTGAACGAGTTGACCTAGGGTTCTCCTTGAACTCAGCTAGTGCAGGAGCTAGGAGTTCCCTCAAAGTCTTTCAGCAGATTTATAATATTAACTAAGCATTAGATGATTCATGCTTCGAACAGTATCATCAAGTCTTCGATTCCCTCGCCGGCGGCTGGTATTGATGGTGCACCAACGACCGTGAATACAACGGGCCAGATTACCGTGGCGTCTATGGTCCCGATGGCTAGCTTGGTTGCAAAGTATATCAAACCTATACCTTCAACCATATATCGCCTTTTTGAATCTGTGATTGCAGCACGAAAGGTACGGTCGTCTCCCAAGTACAAGTTCTTGATCTAGAGCAGCTATTATTCTCTGCTTCCCGAAAAGCTATAAAATTGCCGACTGACTTATCTTATTCCTTGCAGGCCAGTCATGCTATTTTTCAGCAAATAGCTGCCCAGAAGCCAGACCCCGAGATCGAGAAGAGCAATATGTCGCACAGGATCTTCATTGATGCTTTAACGAAAGCATTTGCGGCGCTGGGAGGCAACTCATGGAGATCTGAGAAAATGGCTGAGACGACTCATCTGCAGAGAACTCAGACGATGTCATATTCGAGAATGCATTTTCCTCTCTCAGTCTTGGTCTTGGTGAGTCTAATGACGGTGAAGAGGAGGAACAGGAACTGAACGAGCCCTCGACGTCTTCTCAACCAATACGCCAGAAGCAGTCGGGTGGCAAGAAGAAAAAGGGCAAGAAAGGAAAGAAAGTAAAAGGAAAGGCGAAAGCGCCCATCCAAGAAGCCAGTCTCGATGATGTCCCCTTGGAGAGTTACCGCATTATCGAAGGCCAAGAAGGACTTGTTACCGACTACCTGATGGCTGTTTACTCGGTCGCATCGCAGTGGGTTGAGCTTCGAGGCTATGTACAAGCGCTTTGGCGTCAAGTAGCCTATGGCGGGCTCAACAGTGCTGTTGGGGGGAGTATGTCTAACGTCGCTATCGCAATGATCAAGAAGACAGAAGCTGCCATCTTTGTCGAATTCCCCGGCCATGACTCTTTTCAGACGATCATGAATACTATCACACGTGGAGATCCAGGTAAAGTTCAAGGAATGTTCCATGTTAGTCTTGCGCGAAGCAAGAATGGTGGGGCATATGAAGAAGTAAAGGAGGTTGACGTCGACGTCAATGAGCACTTTATGATACATGCGTATCAAGACCTGCTTGATTTCATTAAAGATTTTCAGCATACGCGGAGTGGGAAACCGACAAAGACCATGCTAGCTGAGATCCGGGACTGGGATCCGACTTTCGACCTCGAACGAGCTACCAAACAACAACGTATCAAGTGGCGGCGGTCCTTTACCATCAATTGGCTGTATGATCTTGTCAATGTATTCTCCGCAATCGTGGTACAGCGAAACACAATGAAAGGCCAGAAATGGGTAATGGAGAATGTGGATTGGTCCATGAAGGGTCCGTGGAATCAGCATCGAAGACTCTTTGGGCTGAACGAGTTCGCGAGTATCATCACAACACTTGCTATGCAGAAGCCTGGAACCGATGTTCGACCGAAGATTGCACCAAGCTGCGTGTTTCAGCTCCAGTGTATTGTTGACTCTTTGGCCGTATTTCGAGGCTGGTCAATCTGTGGCCTACAGGGCCACATTCTTATCCCACCTGCAGCTGCCTTCAGACCAAGACGAGATGTAGACCTTTTCCTCGATCGTCAGAATGAGAGACCACCCAATGGATACTGTAGTGCAGTGGATCTTCTGAGACAGGTCATGGAGAAAGATGCGATACTTCATGGGCACTTCGACCGCCACGAGTCAACCTCTAGCCTTCTGAAGGATTTTAGTGAGGACTTTGTGAATTGGCTCGGAGAGACAAAGTACTTGTATGGCTTAACCACTATTCCGCACTCTCGTTTCTCTCACACAAATGCCAATGGACTTTGGGAGTATTCGCCATTTCTTTGCGGTGTTGGCCTGATGGAAGCGCTCGAGTTGACCTACGATACGGGCATGATGCTATGGGACAGCATACCCGAACCTGTATGTGCTATCCACTTACACAATATGTCAGTACAAAAGGGCCTTATCACGAAACCAATCGGATTATTTGCGACTATAGAGGATCTGTTTTCGACGGATTTCTTCGCTGAAGGCAAAGCTCCCAATTCCAATTTTCAAGAGGCTTTACTCGCTGTCATGAAGCCGAGCTCCCGACGATCAGTCTACGACAGACGAGCTGCTCGAAGGACAATTGCGCGAACGGCAACTGATATCCACGGACTTCTGGATCCTAGCACAAATCGTTTCTTCAAGCAGAAATCATTGCTTCGTATATATCGCGATGCAGGATGGTATTATGAACGCATACCCGACGAGGCGCTTCCGGTGATGTCGAGCTTAGATTGCTTCGTATCAGTCAGACGAAGGAGGTGACTGATCCAGCGACTGGAAAGAAAGCCTTGCAACGTACATTCCTAGTCAATCAGGCCTTAGCTCGAGGAATCGACGAACAAGATTTGATGAGCTTTTCATCGGTAATACAGAGCAGAAAAGAAAAAGGCAACATAAACTCCATTCCCGAAGATTCCCGAAGCATTGTTGCCGCCTCTTCCGGAGCGCTACAGCAGAGCTCCTTCTTTGACTTTCGGTCGCACCGCCGGAGGGAACAAGGTGCTTGCCAGTGAACGAGAGCTACTGAATCTCCTTCAAGTAGACATTATGAGCGACATTGGCAGTGAGGTGCGACCTCTTTCTAGCCTGAACTATATTTTTGTCACCATCCGGTTCATGATGGTCTTCATGCAGATCGAGGAGCGGCTGAAAGCATTGCGCAATCCAGTCTGGGTGCAGGCATATGAACAAGACCCCACTATGATGAAAGAGAAGAGAGCTTCTCTGACTGTCTTGGCTTTGGCCGGAGGAGATGAGGAGTGCTTGCGGGTGATGGCCGAAGTGTTCGAAAAGTCGAGATCTGGTTCCATAAACCATATTTATTGGGATGATCTCGAAAACCCCGAGAAGACGAAGGCCAAGGATCCTTTGGAGCATCTACCTGACTTTGGCTGTACGCTAATGTAGTGTAAGCTGATGGCTACCAAAACTTGCTTGCTTGTCTTGCTCTAAAATTGCGGAACTGCAAAATAATGAATTTAGAGAAGAGTAGGTACGTTCTCGCTGTAATTGTCACGTGAAGCCCATGTTCAAGATGCAATCTTGGTGCAGCTCTTTGCAGTTGAAGTGCAGCGCCGCCCGCTTTCCTCTTTCACATGCCTCCCTCTTCTCGGGATATTAAGAGCCGTTGAGCTTATGTTAGAGCACAGAAATGAAATAAGAACTTGTCTTGGTGCTCTACCGTTGAGCTTCAATAAGCGCAAGCGAGAGAGTCTCCGTAACCAAAAAAAAAGTCAAAGACTAAAGAATCTACAAAACTTACACAAAACAACAACAGCAGAAGCAAAAAAGCAATAAGCTTTATCTACTATTGGGGTGTTCACTCCTCAGCTGCTCGAGCAGGTGTACCCAACCACTCCTACTTTCGAGTGGTTGAAGAAAGTGTCGGGATTGGCGATTTTACAACTTAAGACGGCTAATGGCAACCCCATCGGTACCACCGAACAGAAGTGGCAAGGAAATGCTTATTAGGATCTATACGTATAGAAACCAGTGTGACTAGGAAAAGATGACCTTAAGGGAGAAAGCTACGGGGACAATTTAAAAGTGCGATGTGCAACAAAACTGAGAGGTGGATGTACGGCTTTGGGTTGGGACTTTGGGAACGAAATCACGTCAAAAGTTTGATTTGTAAAGCGTTGGGATTTTTGAAAGTCCTTTCATTGCTTTGCTGGGTCATTGACAATTCTGGTCCACGGGTATCATTGCTTCGCTCCCATCGCATCTAATTAAACCTTCGATGAACGCCCAACGCTCCTCGAGTCATTAAAAAGCAGCGCTCTATGATCTAATATACAAGTCTTTCCTCCACACTTATCACTTCAACCACTTTAGCAAAGCGGCAACTAGGAGATCGGAATTGACGGGCTTGGAGACATATCCGTTCATCCCAATTGCTAAGTATTCATCCACGTCCGTCTTCAAAGCGTTTGCAGTCATGGCGATGATTGGGGTTCCGACCCCAGCAAGCCGAATTTCCTTCGTGGCCTCCTTTCCGTCCATAACGGGCATGCTGACATCCATCAAGATACCGTCGTAAACCAACCGATTCTCCTTGGCCTTGGCAACGGCTTCAGCTCCGTTGACAACCGTATCAACGTATTCGAAACCAAGTCGCTTCAAAGCCTTAACAGCCACTTTTTGGTTCAGTGGATTGTCCTCTGCAAGTAGAAGACGTTTGCTCGCCGCCAAAGCTCTGAGCTCAGACTTCGGAGACGGTGGTTGATGCGACAGCATGAGCGAGTCGAGCATATCGTCACTCTCGCTCATCGGCGTCAACATGTTGATTCTCTGCATCTTGACCGTGAATTCGAAGACAGAACCATGGCCTACGGGATTTGGGGTGAACTCGATTGAACCATCCATCAACTCGACGAGGTTCTTGCAGATGCTAAGGCCTAAGCCCGTACCGCGGTATTTCTTGGTGGAGGAGTTGTCAATTTGAGAGAATCTTCGGAAGAGGAGTCCAACGTCCTTTTCTGCGATGCCGATTCCAGTGTCGGTAACGGTGGTGAGGATCGTGAAGGAGGTGACATCTTCGTCCTTGATGCTAATGTGGATTGAGACGAATCCGGACTCGGTGAATTTGAGGGCATTTGCGGCGATGTTCTGTAAGATTTGTCTGTATCGATCGGGATCGCCCTTAAGGGACTCGGGAACGTCGGAGTCGCAAGTAGCTTGGAATAAGACTCCGGTCTTGACCATAGACTTGAGACTGCGGAGGACGGCGTTGGCGATGGTGTGGAGATTGACGAGACTGATGCTCAAGGACAGTCCACCTGATTCCAGAGCAGAATAGTCGAGAATACCGCCGATAACGTGACCTAGATAGCGGCCCGATTCTTTCATATCGTTGATTGGCTCTTCTTGTTCAGGGGAAATGCCGGCAATGCAGACTTCTTCGAGGGAGGCGAGAAGGCCATGTAATGGAGTCCTCATCTCATGAGACCTAGGGGATGAAGGAGTTAGCATTCTTCATCTTTATTCTCTCGGGAGAAGGACAAGACACTGTCTCGGGAAGAAAATGGAGAATGGGGCTTCCATGATACTTACATGGTTGCGAGGAACTGAGACTTGGCCTTGTCGGCATCTTTGTAGGCATCAATGACACGAGTTTCGGAAGCCTTTCGCTCTGTCAAATCCCGAGTCATCTTGGAGAACCCGATGTGCTTCCCATCGCGGTACATGGCGGTGATGATAACATTTGCCCAGAAAGTGGTGCCATCCTTCTTGACACGTCTCGACTCATCTTCCACCCGACCCTCACGCAAAGCAATCTCCAACTCCTTCCGCGGCTTGCCAGCTTCGATGTCGTCCTTTAGGTAGAAGATCGAGAAGTGCTTTCCAATGACCTCCTCCTTGGTGTACCCTTTCAAGAGTTGTGCGCCCATGTTCCAAGTCTTGACGTTGCCTATGGGATCAATAATGAACATGGCGTAGTCCTTGGCCTGCTCCACCAGGATCTTGTAGGAATCAGCAGTGTCCATCTGGTCCGTGATAGCTTGGCGTGCCAGATGATCGTCCGTGGTCTCGTGGATGGAGAGGAGTTCATAGCTGAAGACGCCTCCCCGAACAATAGGATTGCTTCTTACGGACCAGAAGCTGCCATCATCGCCTTGAATGTCCGTCGTGATGTAGACCTTTCCGCTTGCGCGGGCGAGGTCAATAACGGAACGAAGAGTGTCAGAGTCCGGGATGAGCTTGAACTCCTCAAAGACGTCGAAGATTCTGCGATTGAGAATGTCGGACGGAAGAAGACTGTAGTCCTTTAAGAACTTGTCGGACGCGAGGAGGACAATGCAGGCCTGGTTAAGCAGGACCGCGGCAGAAGGGTAGTTCTCAATAAAGAAAGTGAGATCGGGGAGGCCAGAGCCGAGAGCTTGCTCGGCTATCGCGACAGGCTCGGACATTGTGGTCTCGCTTGCGTAGCGAGCGCGGCACGGAATCCAAGATGTTGTTGTATTCAGGAAGTTGCGACCAAGATCGTGGTTGGCAAGAGCAAGAATTGAAGGTCTGGATCCGAAGCTGACTAACCAGATGTGGAATGGGGTGAATTTTTGCAAAGTGCTTTTACCGAGATTTGTGAAACGCTCATTGGCTGTGCTACTCAGGCTCGTAGGCGAATTTTCGTAGCGAATTGAAAGTGAAGGAAAGGGGGGAGTAGCTTGGTCTTAGCGCGGGTGCTAAGATGCTACTAAAGTGAATTGACTTAGCGGGTTGTTGTAATCGGTGCATTTGGGAAAGAGCTATGCATACTCTTTCCTTGAACAATGAACAGTGAATCAACTAGTGGAGCATCTTAGCCGAGAGGAATAGGGGGCTGAAGCGGGATTTTAGCGTCAACGCTAGTCACAGATTTGGACAAGGCTGAGTTATCTGGATGAATGCCCCAGCTTATGAAACAACATGTTAAGTGCTATGTTAGTTTAAGTGGCCGGACATTAGGAAAACTGAAATTTCAAATACATAAATTTGAGGATTTTCGATGTCCTCAAAAACCTGGGCAATCAGATTCATTTTTTTATTACGATTATAATTTTCTGATTGCGCCCAGTGGCCATGGTGATTATAATCTTTTTAACTACTCAGGTTTTTATTAAACAGATCGCCGATTGCTGCAAGCCACACGCCACAAAGAGCGCCCAGATCCACCACCGCACGATACTTTTGGTAGTACAAAAGGGGAAGTTCTCTTCGTGAGGATCACTGGAGAATGAAGGTGGTCACTTGACGGCTCTGTAGAAATAATTCTGATGAATTAGTAAGGCTCGGCACGAGGTGTGGTGACACGAAACATAGAAAGAGGGTCGAGGTGGTCTATCCATTTTGATGGCTGGAAGTGGAATGCTGGATCAACATTGAAGAAGACGAGGCATACCACACGATTGAGATGTTTATTTCTCTCTCAAAGAGGAGGCTCGACACTCTCCCCGAGATTTCTCTCACCAGTTTCAGATCGAGTATCTGAAGTGCAGATTCTCCTTGTCTGTCAAATCTCCGAAACCTTCAAGCGCCTCAGCCTCCTCATCTGCATGCAACCCTCTTCTGTCTCTCTTCTTATTCTCCATCCAGCATAGCGTGGTGTACAGAATCTGCACGAATGCCGCGATACAATACGCAATGAGTAAACCTTTGATGGCGGAGAGATATCGTGGAGCCTCATCTGCAAAGAAGAGATGTGGACCAGCTATGTTTCCTGCGCAATATATCCTAGGGATAGTGTCAGCTTGCTGTCAAAAATATGATTTTAGATTGAATAGTTGGGAGAATAAAACATACACAAAGAAGAGACCAAGTTGAGTAGCACGCTTGGAATGCCCAGCACAGTTCAGAGCGGGTAGTGTCCACATGAGCACGATAGGAGAGCCAAGAATGCCTTGCAGCCATGTGCAAGCTACGAGGGCATATCGATGTGCAAGGCTGATTTTCATGATGCCAACCAGGCCAGCTATACCAGGGATACAAGCAACTACATTCATCTTAGCATTTAACCACGTGCATTCGTTCCACGTGATACTGACTGATAATAGTTGCCCCAAGCATATTCTTGACAGTTGCAAGATAGCCCAACAGGATCACAAAGACCAGTTCAAATGCACCACCAGGTGTTTGCAACAGACTTGTCTTGAGAGGATTGAAGCCAAAGCCTTTGATCAGAGAACTGGCAAAATTGGTGACCCCACCATTGAGGATGCCAACACAAGCAGCGCCGATGAGTAGCAACCAGGTCTTCACATCGAAAAGAGCTTCCTTGATCTGGTAACGGAGGATCTTGGGATCTTTAACACCTGTTCTGTTTTTGGAAACTCTCCAGACAGCCACCACCCGCTCGTATTCTGTGAGCATTTTGGCGTTGTGAGGTCCGTCGGGCAGGTAGAGTAGAATGACAAACCCCCATGCGAAGGTTATTGCTCCAACGACCTGAATTTAGTGTAAGCCAGAAATCCAGTGATTAAATGAAAGTTACATACCAGATAAATCAGTTTCCAATTTGGTACAGCCAAATTGTCAACATGACCAAGCCCAAACGATAACAAAGCTCCAATAATCGAAGATACACCATTCACTGACAACCAGAAAGAAGTTCGCAGCGGCTGCTCTTCTCGTGTCCAAAGCATGGAGGTCAAAAGTACCCATGCCGGAGAAATGCATGCTTCCAGCATACCCAGAAAGAATCGAACAGCGAAGAAGCCTGAGAAATTGAATACTGCAGCTTGGAGCATACACACCGCACCCCAGACAAATAGCATGCAGCCCATCAATCTTCCGATAGGGAACCGTTGAAGAGCCAAATTCCAAGGGTATGCTCCGACCAACCATCCAAAGTAAAGTGCAGATGAAACCCAGGAGTAATCAATTCCTTTCATATGAGTATCGGCTTGGAGACCGTATGCATTTGAGTAATTCAATCTATGCCAATGATCAGGACCAGTTCTTGGACACAAACTTGCACTTACGTTTGCTTGTCAAGAAAACTTAACATATATGTCATCATCATCTATTATGTTTATCAGGCCAATGCTTGTTAAAATGGACACAATCAGTCATACCATTGGAAGGACAATGAAGTCCAATTTCCTTCGAACTTTGATAGCATCTCTCTCGAGTTGAGCGGGGTCATATTGATGTGATTGTTGAAAAAGGTCGAAACCAATATCTCCAATTTTTTCCGCGTCTCGAAAGTCGTTGGCTTCACCTCTCTCAATTGGAGAGATATTATCCGCTCCTGGAACTGCTTTCTTCTCCTCGTCTGCCATCGTAATGCTTGAAAAATGTGGTGGGATGATGGAGCAGATGAAATCGGGACAGCACTTCGACAAAAGATTCGGCCAAGCTTAAGGATAAATGGCCCCGTCTACGCAACCCTAGATAAGGCTGCAGTCGGGAACTGGCCCTATCTCGTCGGCGAAACCTTCTTTTGACGAAGTTGATACAGTGCTACTCCACGACGGCTCGGGAACTTTAGAAACAAATCCAGCTTTGGGAGGCTTGTCTCTCGCAATAGAATTCGAGAAGTTTATGAGATTGTTCATTTCGAACGACAACTTCATGTGTTACCATGGATTGAACGGCAACTTTGCCACAATTGTTCCTGATCGGCGGTTTAGATCTGAGGGTACTGAAGATAGCAGGTTGTACCCCTCACCAACCCCATCTTTGCCATGAACCGCGGGAGACATCTCGGGATTAAAGATCCGTTTCGAATCGTGCGCTATCACAACCTGATCTCCGCGTCCAATTTTCGCAAACAGGTAAGTAAAAGTGGGGTGGCAACTATTTTAGATGTGAGAGAAGCTGATAGCATAGATAAACGCTGCTTTGAGACTAGTAGTGTGCGCTTTGCTTGATCAAGTTAGCTCGAGTTCAACAGCCAAAATACCCCAAAAAGCAACTTCAGTGGACTCGTTCAATATCATCATCCTCCATCCTTGGAACATCGTGCAGATGTCCCGACAATTATGGTTCGTCCAATGTGATGCTATCTATGCGATCGTATCCGAAGTATCGGTAACCCATCTTTCATCTCTCATAGGCTGCAGGTCATTCGCACGCTCTGAATAGACGTCGCTGAGACTCTGCTGGTGTTACATAATTCTTTCTCAGCAGCCTTGCTTCCGCGGTACAAGGAGAAGATCATTGGATCTCTCTTCGGAGAAATATTGTTTTATTTCACTTGTGCTTACTCTCTCTTTGTGTCATTTCACCCCAAGATTAGATTCAGACCTCACTCCATCCTAACATGCAGACAGTCGAGGACCACACGGCAATTCAGCCAGCGAAGACATGGCAGAGCGTCCGTGATTCGAAGAAGGCCGAGCAAGCTGCGCGAATTCCAGCGGAATGGAAGCTTCAGCAGTCAGATTATCCCCCAGCCGGGACAGTGGATGTTCGACCTGTAGCCAGTACCTGTGGCATCCTTTCCGAACGAGAGCTGAAGATTTCAGGCGAAGCCTACGATGCGACCTCTCTAGCAGCAGCTATCGCTGAAGGCATATATACAGCAGAAGAAGTTGCTATTGCTTTCTGCAAACGGGCAGCTATTGGTCATCAGTTATGCAACAATTTGACTGAGATCATGTTCTTGGATGCAATCGAGGATGCGAAGAAGCTAGATACTTACTTCAAGGAGACAGGCAAGACGGTTGGTCCTTTACATGGTCTGCCGATGACTTTTAAGGTATGTTACATCCTCAATGTACGACTCTGTGCTGATGCATAGAGGAATGTTTCCATGTCAAAGGATACGATGCATGCAATGGCTACATCTCGAGAACCTTTGACCCCTCCACCAAGACCACATACTCCATCGAACTCGTAAAGGCGGCAGGGGCAGTCATAGTCGCGAAAACGAATGTTCCTCAAACAATGCTAGTCGCAGAAGCGGACAACAATGTGTTTGGACAAACCAAGAATCCAGTGGTACATCACCTCACATGCGGAGGAAGCAGTGGTGGAGAAGGTTCAAATATGGCGTTTCGGGGATCTGCCATTGGTATTGGGACGGATGTTGGAGGCTCTATAAGAGTGCCATGTGCTGCGAACGGAGTCTATGGCTTCAAACCAACGTGCGGCGTTCTGCCTTTCTATGGATATGCTGCATCGGGATACACAGGAGTTAACACAGGAGTACCGGCAACATTGGGACCCATGGCACAATCTGCTCGAGATTTGACATTGTTAACTAAGGTTGTGCGGGATGCGAAGCCCTGGCTTGTTGACCCCGCAGTGGTTCCGGGAATCTGGGAGCAAGCCACAGTCTCAAGAAAACCAGTAGTTGGTGTAATCCACAAGAGCGGTCTCACATCTCACCCACCAATCCAACGAGCTGTTCGAGAAGCAGTTGCCAAGCTCCAAGCAGCTGGTTTCGAGGTGAAGGACTTCACCCCACCAGATTTTGGCGAGATTCGAAATGTCACAAAGCAGCTCTTCACGTTAGATGCTCTCTCCTACCAGAAACGAGAATTAAAGAAAGCAAACGAGCCAGTGGTCAAATCGGTGGTGGATATAGGGTTCTGGCAACTTCCTCCAAAGACACAAGAAGAAGCCTGGGAATGGAATACGAAGAGACTGGGAATCTGCAAGCAGATGCTGGACGCGTGGCAAGAGACGAAAGTCGATGTTGTATTGTGCCCTACTGGTCCACACACAGCGGTATTGCCAGGAGAATGGTCGAATGATATGTACACTGTGGCTTGGAATGCTGTTGATGTGAGTTGTGATCTCGAATCAGATACGGTCATAGAGAACTGACGACTTGCAGTACCCGGCTGTCGTTATCCCATTCACGAAGGCTGATCCAGCGCTCGATCCCAAAGACGCCAATTTCGTGCCGATGAACGAGCTTGATGTTGTCAATGAAGCAAAGTGTAGGTTCATGGCTCACATACTCCTTTCGAGCAGCGACTGACAATGACCAGATGATCCTCAACTCATGGCCGGCGCACCAGCCGCTCTTCAAATTGTTGGTCCTAAATGGGGAGATGCGCAACTATTGAAAGATGTCGAGCTCATTGATAGTGTGCTGAATCCCAAGAGCGACACAGACGCAAGACTGAAGACAGCGCAGTCGAAGTTGTGATCGGGCATCCTACTCTTTAGTCCTCTTAATCTATGCTCCTATCTACTATAAATTTCTATTGTATATAGAACCACCAAATATATCTTCCAAGCTTCAGCACGTCAGAACAGGTTGCCACAAAAATCGTCAACATCGTTTTTTCCCCTTTCCATTCTCATTATCACCTCAAATCCGCATTCCCCAATCCAGCCATCCGCCCATCCCGCGTCAACCCCTGCATTTCGGCCTTAAGATAGCTTACCCCTGCCTATCGTGGTGGGACATCAAGCTCCTCATTTGCTATCGTACAAACGCACAGCCGCGACCTGAATCGTGCATCGTGAACTTCATGCCATGCATCGTATTCCAATTCTTGCGGAGCCTCATATCCTATCTTGAGAGTTCATCTGATTAGATAGATAGGTATCTGGACAAGGAAAAGAGGAAGCGGAGGTAGTACAATCGGAACGGACCACGACCCCACTTTACCCCACCACCATCATCAGGATTTCGAGCTCGCAGCTCGCAACATCATTCCACGACCATCTCAAACATCACCTCCGCGTCGAGTTCATAAAAGAGATCATTCAAAAATGCCAACCCACCTCTCACCCCCAGGAACCGTCCCACCATCCCCAACCACCGCCGCCGCCAACCAAGAAAAAGAATTCAACATCGCCCTCCTCGGTGCGGGAGGCGTAGGTACAATCGCCGCCCTGGTTCTAGAGAAGAGTGGCCGCGCGAGAGTCACTGCTATCCTTCGCAGCAGCTATGCGGTTGTGAGCGAGAAAGGGTGGGCGATTGAGAGTGTAGATCACGGGGTCTTGGGGAGTTGGAGATGTGAGCGAGGTAAATGATATTCCTTGACTTTACTTATTTAGAGGGCAAAAGAGAAGAGGGAAAAGGAAGGATGTACTGATAAGATGTGGTGATGGCATAGTCGTCCAAACAATAGAAGAAGCCGTATTCCCCGAACCGCAACCGAGTCCGCCCATCCCGACTGGAGCCCCGACCCCGATGGAAGCGGCCAGGGAACGATACGATTATATCGTTCTCTGCACCAAACAACTTCCCGAGAAATATAACCTAGCTGAGATGATAGCACCGCTCGTGACCCCTGGTCTAACAGCCATCGTGCTGATCCAAAATGGGCTGAATATCCAAGATCCGTTCATCAAGGCGTTCCCGTCTAACGTCACCATGTCCGCCGTCTCGATGATCGGATCGTTCGCCGAGCCGCCGAATGTGGTTAAGCATATTGGCCCGGATATCCTGCAGATCGGGCCGCATTACCACGCTGGGGTCCCGGATGTAGTGAGTCTGGAGAAAACGAAAACGTTTGTGCAGATGTATAGTGAGGGCGGAGCCAAGAGCTGCGAGTTCGTGGACGATATGCCGAAGGCAAGATGGTCGAAATTGCTGTGGAATGGGACGTATAATTCGATTTGTGCGCTGGTGGAAGTGCATGTCGGGGACGTGCAGAGCAGTGGTGCGAAGGAGGGGCTGGTGTTGCCGATTATGCGGGAGTTGCAGGCGGTGGCGAAGGAAGATGGAGTGCTGCTGGAGGATGAGGTCGTGCAGTTTATGGCGGAGAGGAGTCCGAGGAGCAGTCGGTGGCAGCCGAGTATGTTGTTAGATAAGGTGCATGGGAGGCCGATGGAGTTTGAGGTTATTTTGGGGGCACCGATACGTAGGGGAAGGGAGTTGGGGGTTCCGACTCCGGTGATGAGTACGGTGTATGAGTTGTTGAAGTTGGTGAGGTGGAAGGTGGAGAATCCGGGGGAGGATGGTGAGCCGCATATCGGGTAGGTGGGAGAAAATGTTCATGATCTGTTTATCGTTAGACTTGACATAGCTTTGCATTTTCTGTGCACTTACTTCTTAGATTTATACCTCCATAGACCACAAAATCGCAGAGTTACTAGCTTTCATCCCATAGATTTGGTAGTCGTTGACGTTTTCATCATATGGGCAAGCACTCTCCCGGGTATTGATGCACAAGATCCATCCAGGACCAATGCAAACCTAAATCACGAGCTATGGAATCTTCAAGTTAGCATTCAGCCATGAAGTCTGAAGCAGAGCACGAAATTGCAGTAAATGAGCGTAGAAACGCCTCTCAGCCAAGACCTCTTCCAAAGCCCAAAGAAGGCTAAGGGAGTTCTTAAGAAGTGACTTACCAGTCCACACACGATTAACACAGAATATCTTCGTCCTCAGCGACGTAATCGTCCTCCGCTGCTGATGAATATCATCAAACATCCGCGTAATCAAGTTCCGATCATCCTCATTCACCAACTCCGTACCTGCAATGAGCGCCGGCCACAGTGCCGTCTTCAACTGCCCAGTCATAGCACTGAGATGCATCAACACTTCATGCGCCAAACTGAGAGCAGTACGATCAGCTTCTTCCGAACTACCAGGCGGCTCCAACAGTCGATGGAGATATAGAATAGCCGCGGCTTTATGGGCGTGTGCGTGGAAAAGGAGATTTTTCGAGGAATGGAAGGAGACGTTTTGAGCAGTGACGGGTCGCCATTGATCGAGTTGGGTACGGATGTCCATAGCTTTCTGGTATATGCTTTGATTTTGCGAATATCCAAAGACGAGAGCATTCTCAGTCCACATATCTTCATCTTGGCAGATGAACGGGGTAGTTGGTGAATTTGCACCTCGAATTTCCTCGGCGAGCGATCCTAGGTCGGCTAGGATGGGCATTAGAGGTCCGGTGTAACCCATGAAGCGGTCAGCTTGTCTATAGAAGTCATTCTCGAGCCACGCCTGGCTCGAAATGAGGGGTTGGCGGGCGTAGGTTAGAGAGATCATCATATCTTGACGAGCTAAGGCACGAATGAAGTATTTCGCTATGGAGCTGAATTCTCCGCCTGACTCGAAACTGTGCTTGATGATGATTGCTGCGTTTGAGATGAGTGCTGGGAGTCCTAGGTCTGCGGGCTGAGTCCTGGCATCGATCAACTGTGGTAATGTGTCAGTGAGAGTTGTAGGAATTGAGATAGCAGGCTTACCTCAATTGCACATAGCCCCAAATGCATGACCAACATCTGTTCCAGCTCTGTCGTTTCTCGTAGTTTGGCCAGGATACGCGCTCTTCTGTCTAAGACAGGAACAATTGACATGCCCCCTTCGCCAAGATAAATGTGTCCAATGGCCGAAAGAGTTTCAGCAACGGTAGCGGGATCCTCGTGGAAGACTCTCAGGACGTTGGAGTTCATCTCATCAGCGAACTCGGAACTTATGACTAACTCAGACGGGTGCCGACTAAAGTAAGTCTCTATGCCTGGCTGATCTGAACTCTGAATCGCGCTTGGTGGGATGAGAGGGAGACCTCGACAAAGAGGGTATGGACTTGAACAACCAACACTGCTTCTTGAGATTATCGATAGCCGCCTTTTTGAGACACTCGAAGTTGGAGTAGAAACAGCAGAAAAGCTCTTCTCTGCCTCAGAATCACTCCCCGATGAGTGACACTCACGTGCATCCGAGCGTCTCCGTACCGATCTCCTGCTATCTCTGTCTCGGCGCCGGATAGGTCCACTTTGCGGCTCATGATCTGCTTCTTTCGAAGGGTCCTTGAGGGGCGGATTCGCATAACCTTGACAGACGTAGCCGCGGCGGAAACAGGTGCCGCAAGCAGGCCTCACCTAAAGCACGAAGTTGGTGAGCATTGATGCGAAAATCAAGCTAGGGATTGCTCACCTCATCGCACTTGACTTTGGCCTTTTTACAGTCTATACAACCTTTTCGCGAGCGACGGTTCATGGTTTGGAATGTATGGAGTTGGGTTGTTGATTGGGTTCCGGGAAAGAGTTGGAGAGGATCAGGGTTATCAGATGCATGCGGGTCTTGGGCTCAGCGCCTTGCGCCGCGCTTGCGCCTGCGGGGAAATGCAGCATGGGTCTAGACTGAGGTATTGTATTATATAAGCAGGAAAGTGAGCATTTTGAGCACATGATTTGATTCATTATCTTTGTTAAAATAACTCGTTTTTATATAGGGGATCGAGGATGCAAAGAAGTGTTCAAGGATGGTGCGACTGAGTTGTTATGACCTTCTTGAGGAACTTGCGGGTAGCCGCAATTTCTAGCGACTTGTCTCGGTGCATGCACACTTGAACAACGCAAACATCTTCATGGACTTCCTTTTTTTCCTTTTGAAACTTCTTTTTTGGCTCAATCCAAACCCTTTCAATGCATCATGCCTTTGCTGCTCGCAGAGAATGATCCCGATGCTTCTCATTTCTCTTCTCAATGAACCTCCGCAGCCCTTGTGGCTCTGTCGCAGCATCAGTCAATCCACTTGCCACCGGCTTATCCAGCACATCATATAAAGGGACAACTCCTGTCCACACAGGTTCCTCTCTATCTTTCCGATCCTTCTCTACATCCCGAGGCTGGATTCCTGGAATGCCACTCCTCGTCTTCAAACTCAGGCTCAAGATATCCACACGGACAACACACACCAGGGACACCTGAAACGAGGAAACCAGATTGACATCTTCCCACCTGCCTTCAACAATGTGGTTTGTGACGCCTCTCATGATCTCCTGCTTGAGATCCCGGTCTGTGACGAGAGAACATTCTCCGTGCACGACAGCTGAGCGATAATTGAACGTGTGTCCATTCGGTGCTGAGGATAGCACCAGACCATCCACTGAGCATCATCAGTCGCTAACCAAGATCGAGATGCCTGATCTCCTACCTTTCGTCGCAGTGATGCACACTTTGATCTTCTCTCCATCATAACTCTTATTCTGTCTAGCGAGTTCCATCAACCTAGCACTCGGATGCCCATGCAAATAAACCGCAGTATCATCACCTATCGTATGGAACAATGCGATCATGGGTAAACACTGAGGGAGCCCATTGTCAACATAACTCACATGGGCCATGAAAGTGTCGTCGAACACCGATGATACTGATTCGAGATCATAACGTCCGCGATTCTGATGTCTTCTAAGTTCCGAGGGCTGCATATTGTTCGAGTGATGCTTTGGCGGGAGAAGATGTTCGGATTTCAACCCCTCGTCGATGGTTCGGGTATTGAGGATCTTGGGGCATTCTGGAGTAACGATGTTCGAGAACTGAAAGTGGATCCTTACGTAAAGACCGAGATAGCCTCTGAAGCAGCTGAGTAGCTATCAATTGATCGTACTATCGGTAGGCACTTTACTGGATTACAAGGAAGAAGAGAATATGATTTTTGTACCACGATAGTCTATAATGTCTTTTGCTTCCTCAGCATAGATTTGAACCACGATTTCGGTACCACACGACGTCATGCTATCATGTCTCTGAACCTGCATTAAATTCGGCAATGAATTAATTTTCTTTCGTCTAACTAAGTGGAAACACTGACAAGTCCAAGCTTTCCGGGCTGCAAGTTAACTCTCATTCCATCAATCACATCGGCGCCGAAGTTATCAAAGCTCATAGAACTCTTCACATCAATAACATGACGAGCTCGAATGTTACCGATGACGCGCAACTCTTCCTCACTGCAGAAGCTGTTTTGACGTTCAGCACGACTTGTGTTGAGCATCTCATCCATCACGTTCTTTCCATTTGATTTCAGCTTCTCCATAACCTGCTCTTTTTCTTCTGCTTGCGTCTCGTCAAAAGCGGCAGCACAGAAATCAAGCGACTGGCGGAGTTCCTCTTGAGAAAGCTTGCTGCTCACGTCCACCGTTCCCTGGATTACTATAAATCGATTAGCCGTCGGACTTCAAAGGAGTTTGATATTCTTTGGATCAATTACTTGGTCTGAGATGATTGAAAGCCTTGTCGAAATTATCTTCTTGCATCGCACTAAGGATATGCTCATCTTGTCTCTGCATTTGGCGATACGCGCTGAACACTACGACCAAGAACCTAGAGTATGCTTCTTCAACCTTCGAAGAGTGCCATTTCGCTGCTACCTCTTCCGTGCAGTTACCTCTGATAGCAGCACATATTGTCGCTGCCGCCGACACCCCTCCAGTGAGAGCCAGGTGCACACCAGAAGAGAAGAAAGGATCGATGAAGCAGCCCGCATCGCCGACTGTTCGGGCATATGGTATAGCGTAAGAAGATGAGCTATAGGAGTAGTCCGAGGCAGAATTGACATCGGTGACTAGCTTGCCTCCTTCAAGAAGCTGGAGAAGATTCGGGGCTAGTCTTAGAGACGAGAGGTAGAAGTCTTGCAGACATTGATAACCCTCTTGCGTCCCCGCAGCTTGTCTTTGTGACATCGCGATATCCTGATTCATGACCACTCCGACAGATGTTGTACCATTATGCAAGGGGATAAGCCATGCCCAGCCGCTTTCATCTATAGATTAAGATCCAGTCAATTTCAAGCTTACCAAAATTGAAGGACTGCTTACCTTTCAATGCTTCGAAGAAAGGGGAGTTAGCTCGCTCGGTTCCGAGCCCGTAGGATGCAGTACCAGTCCAGTATCCCCAGTAAGCAAGATTCTTCAGAGATTTGCTGTAAGTTCGATTCTTCAGATACTTGGTGTGTAAAATACCAGCTCGGCCACTCGCGTCCACGATATAGTCGAATATGATTTGACCTTGTTTTCCATCGGATTTGCGTTGGTAAGATGCAGAGACCGGACGTTCGCTTCTTACGTTGGGTGTTGTTGTTGGGGCATTTCCACGGGATGAAAAATTAATCGAGGTTACTTTAACGCCATCAAAGATCTTGGCACCGCTTTTGCTTGCATGTCGAAACATCAACTCGTCGGATTCAGATCTGATGACATTCCAGGTGTAACTTTCCGGCCCTCCCGCTGAAAGAAAGTTGGTATCTTTGGGCCGATTTATTAGTTCCAGGGGCGTTTCCAAATGGGTAGGGAATACATTACAGCCTTCACGCTTCTCTTGGTTGAGTTTGAAAGCGGCTCCATTCTGCCAATTGTTAGTGCCATGATACTCTATATCTCCATGGTCGATCGTATGCCTTTCTATAGAATCCATGTTCTTTGAACACGTTGTCTAGATCGATGAAACGCAGGAAGTGGCGCAGGGAAGGAAGCATGCTCTCCCCAACGTGGTACCTGTTTTTCAACAATCAGTAGAGTACAAGGGTTTGAAAGGGGAGTTGATGGAACCTAGGAAAAGACGCGGCTTCCAATAAAACAGTATCAATGCCTTCCCGTGCGAGAGCAGAGGCTGTGAAAGACCCTCCCGGGCCACCGCCCACAACAAGAACGGTACACTGGGATGGGATATCTTGCATCGTGAACGAAAAAGTTCTTCTACTGTAGGAGTATATCTGCAGTAGGACAGTACAATTCAAGGAGTCGTCGGTGATGTTGGGAAACCCTTGTATGTAGTTTCGTCAGAACCCCGCTTTGACAATTTATATCTGCCTCTTCGGATCCCGAAGTTGGGGCCCATTCCAAGCCCATGTATCTCGTACGTTCGAGCTGCATCAATAAACAATTGATTATGTGATGTGGATGTCCATGTTCGAGATTGGGTTTCCGTCTCAGCCCAGTCGGCCGCCAATTCCATCATCTCACGAGTCAATAGGTGTGCATCATGCACACTACATGAAGAATTAAAATCCAGAGCATCGGGAGGGGAGAACCCGTTTCCGAGTATGCACATTTCTCAAGTCAGCCTCACACCACCAATCATGGTTGCTCCGGTCTATCGCCCTAGTTCCACTCATACTCCATTCGTGTACACTTTAGCTTAGTAAATTCGGGCACCTTAAAAATCAGAATCTCTTAGATTCAGGTCAGCTATTGAGGAGTTGGGGATATAATCATTGACTATTCTGCTTGCATTCTTACTCGGAAGTTCTTTAGCCACTCCCTCACAACTGCGCTAGTATCAGTGAACTCCAACTTTGATAATGGAGAAACCAGCGGATAATGTCTTTTCTGTTATGTCAGATCTACAGACACTCGCCAAGACCTTCGAATCGCTTGCCATCAAGAACAAAATCTCGATACCATCGCTCGGCGTAAACGGGCCAACAGAGTATCCAACGTCAGTTGGAGAAGATAACGATATATTGACTAGCACGAGATACAAAATAGCAGACGCAGCTAGAAAGCTTATCATCCTCACATTGGGTCCTAGGCAAGCACTGTTGCGCACTGGGTTTAGCGCAAGAATTCCTTGATGTCTTTTAAGGAAGTGAACTTTGACTAACAGTTGTGCAGCAGCACGACAACCTCGCCTTGGCTGTTATTTCCCAATACTCGATTGCCAAAGCTGTGCCACTTGACCAATCTATCTCGATGATCGAAGTTAGCAAGAAGACTGGCTTGTCAGAACATCTCACACGCAGTATCCTCCGTCACGCAGTCGCTACTGGTATATTCCACGAACCTGTCCCAAATCACATCGCTCACAATGGACTCTCTAAGCTTCTTCTGGAGCCGAAGATGGCTGGGTGGGTGCATCATACTACCAATGATGTTGTACCTGCGGCATCGATGGTCATTGAGTCGTGGAGGCGATTTCCCGACTCGAATGAGCCAAATGAAACTGGCTTCTCACTTGCAGGTGGTCAAGGGAAAACTCTGTTCGAGTACCTTGCTGAGAATGCCGAGGCTAGGGATCGATTCAGCCTCGCAATGGCCGGGCTAACTGCAAGCGGGGGATACGATGCTAACGATCTTGTGCATGGTTACCCGTGGACCAACATCACGTCTGGGGCAACTATTGTTGACGTAAGCTTACTGCTTGAAGACATTTGTACCCGTGCTAAGAAGATTAGGTTGGCGGCTCGGATGGTACGATGGCATGTGCATTAGCTTCGCAATACTCAGGCTTCCGTCTTATCGTCCAGGACTTGGAAGGTGTTGCGGCCCATGGCAAAGAAGCTCTTCTGCCAAGCTTGAGAGATCGTGTCCAGTTTCAAGCACATGATTTCTTTCACCCGCAGCCAGTTGAGGCAGATGTCTACATAATTCGCCATGTTCTGCACAATTGGTCAGATAAATACAGCGTCCAAATTCTGCGACATATCGTCGCTGCAATGAAGCCAACATCAAGAATCATTGTCAATGATGCTGTTATGGTCGAGCCACAGGAGACTAGTGCGGAGCAATACTGGAATATGAGGTTCGTCACTTGACTCTTTGTTATGCCTATTTGTCTTCAGCCTGATGATTAGGGAGACTTTGCTAAACCCTCGGTCTAGTGCGATGAATCTGCAAATGATTACCTTGCTCAATGCAAAGGAGCGTACGTTGCACGACTGGACAGAGCTATTCGCTAAGGCAGACCCGCGGCTAAAGATTGCTACTGTTCACAAACCAACGGGAAGTGAGATGAGCATCATAGAGGTCGTTTTAATGGATTAGTTAGTGGAAGATCCTGCCTAGGCAACATAGTACCCAGGCTACCTGGGTAGAAATCTGGTCACTCACGTTTATCAGGGGCTCGCTTAGCGGTCAGGAGGAAGCAAGCGGCCGAGTCAATAAATTGAAAATTGTTCTAGCACTCCAGCAGACAAAACGTTGATTTCTTTTCCCAATTGATATTCGCGAATCAGTTTGCGTTATGGCACACTTGATACCCGATAGCCTATTGTAGTACCTCTTCATGGCATTAGCATTGACATTGACATTATGATTGCATCGGACTTTAGATTGTGGCTTGCTGATGCTCTTCGGTTTTCCCGATGATTACTTACCGCAAGTGGAAATACTGCATTTGCTTAACGCCAACACGCCCCATGTCCAGATTTCTCCACGATGAATTTCAAATACGTCGTAAAGCCCATCCAATGAAGATTCAGAGGATGCCTGACCCTGCTCCCGCTCCCGCGTCGCTTACCCACAGGTATCCTGAAGTCGCCGACTCTCTGAACAAAAAGCAAGTTCAAAGCCCAGAATTTGGCCCACACGAACTTCATTGGCGAGAAATAGAACAGCCCTGCTCCATTTCCCAGCCTCCCTGCAACTTACCGTCTTTGAACGGCCGACAAGCTACTACCGGTAGAAGCTTACTGCGGTTGCGACCCCACGGCTCGGCCCCGCATCTAGTGTTTCCTTGTAAGTCGCCAAAGCTTACATTGACTGTCGAGCGTTTGAATATGGTATGAATGGTTGTTCTAGTTTTGAAAATACACATCAAGTCAAAGAACAATTTGGAACAAAACTGAATTCAATCGCTTTTGCCTCGTACACTTTATCAAGAAAAGAAAACTCGCAAATATGAAAGTCGCAGTGATAGGAGCTGGCCCGGGGGGCCTTGTTACCTTGAAATACCTTCTCCAAGCACCCGAGTTCCTCTTTGTAAAACCCATCGAAGTTCGTCTCTTCGAAGCCGGTCCGGAGATTGGTGGAACCTTTCGGCAAAGGAATTACGAAGATGGAGAGGTATTGATTCATCTCTGAACGCAATCTGACAATCATCTAACTCCACATTGTCGTTGTAGCAAGTCTCCTCAAAATACCTGACAACTTTTTCTGACTTCCGCCCCTCGAAAGAAGCGCCTGACTTCCTGCCAATAGAAGATTATCTTGTTTACCTCGAAGAATACTGCACTCGTTTCGACCTGTGGAAGAATATCGAAGTCTCAACAACGGTCACCCGTCTCCAACATCGAGGTATTTCTGGTCATACCGTCTCGTTAGTCAGAGCGGATGGAACAACAGAAGATTGGCACTGCGACGCTGTAGCGATCTGCACGGGACTACACGTTACTCCTAACGTTCCACACGTCGATGGAATTGAAAATGTCCCTCTCGTGTTACATTCTTCTCAATTCAAAGCCAGGAAACAATTTGGGAAGGATACGAATGTGGTCGTTCTTGGGACTGGGGAGACGGGTATGGACATGTCACATCTGGCTGTGACCTCTCCTACAAGAACTGTGACTTTGTGTCATCGAAATGGATTCCTCTGCGCTGCCAAAATAAGTACTCACCTTCTAAGCTGTTGTAGGATGCTGACATGATAATACAGAGTCCCGAATCCCGTCCTCTTTGGAAGATTCCGATCCAGCGGCCCCGACATTCCCACGGATGTTGTTACAGCCAGCCTGTTCGAGTCAATGTATGTTCATCCCATAATGAAGAAGTCACTCATACCTTGGCGGTACTATGATGCTTTTGTAAAGTATACGCTATGGCTTGTCTCTGGTACGAGACATGGCATTGATCAGTGGGTTGGCGGACTCCCTGATGAGACGTACCATACTTCTGAACGTAAGCTCAACTTAATCCCAATCAACATAGTGAGAATGACAAACACGGTCCAGTCTTCTTTACAAAGTCGAGTCGCGCAATGCCCTACATCAGTGCACCCTACCGCTCTACATCCTTGCTTCATCGTATCCGCGCTTCCATTGCACAAATCAAACTTCCGGAGACAAATGGGAGAGTGATAGATCTGGCACCTTGGCCCAGCCACATTGGTCAGGATCGCGTAATCCACTTCACCAATAATGGACGTCCAGAAGCTCGTACAATGCAAGATGTCAAACGGAAGGTCGATGTGCTAGTCTTTGCCACCGGGTACGACCAGACTTTCCCGTTTCTAGACGAAACATATCCACGGCCCGAGGATGCGAATATCAGACGAATTTGGAAGAGTGGGGATGAGACTGTTGCATTTATTGGGTTCATTCGACCGAGTTTTGGTAATTGCTACTCCACTGTTAAGAAGTACATTTCTGCTAATCATGTATCAGGAGCAATTCCTCCCCTCGCAGAGTTCCAAGCACAGCTCTGGGTCCTAGCACTTCTACAAAAGCTGCCTCATCCATTAACCAAAGAAGAGCATTATCGCCTCCATATGACTGAGGAGCGAAGAATACAATACGGTGTTGACCACGAAAACTATGCCTATCAATTAGCAATGGACATGGAATCTGCACCTACCGCTGCCTATATGCTGACTCGTGGATCGAAGATGTTCACGACATGGGCTCTTGGCGCCAATTTCAACACAAAGTTCAGGTTGATTGGTCCTTGGGCGTTCAAAGAAGCGGAAGATATTATGAATAATGAGTTGTGGGAGACGATTACTCGACGTGGTGGCTTTTTCGGTACGTTGAAGAGTGCCAGATTGCAGAATACTTGCTAACCTGAAGCCGCAGGTATTGTGGTTCTCTCTTTGATCCCGATGTCGATATTTGGTCCGCTGAATCTCCTCGTTTGGCTGTTCGCCTCGATGGGGTTAGTAAAGGGCTCGTGAATCGAGTTGTCTTCGGCATAAAGCTGAGATTAAGACTTCAAGGCTCTATTATTCTGTGCTGATCTCGTCAATTTATTCTGTATCGAAATATTACCACGTAGATAGAAGTAAATCTCCGTAATAAGAAAGTATAATTTGCTCGAAGGATCTCCAAATTGGTGAACAGGATTTGCATTCAAGTGGTGAATGGAAGAGAAGGAACAAGGAGGCAACAATTATTCCAAGTCACTGGCTGTTGGATTTTCTCATCTCAGCCGTTGCAGCCTTGTACCTATTCCAAGTGTTATCCACCTCACCTTCAACATCGTATCCAAACAACTCCTTTTGGAAATTCAGATTAGCCCAAGGATTCAAACTTCCTTCACCCGAATCCCTCCATCTCATCCCGACTTTCTCCCTCGAAACTCTTGCCACCATATTCGCTCTCGGCATTCTAAGCTCCTCATAAACACCAAGAACATCAAAAACGTCCTCTCTACTCTCACACCTAGAGAACAGCGCACCAAGGACAGCACCATCTTCCACAGCCTGAGCAGCTCCTTGTGCTCTTTGCATCACACGTTAACCACATCGCGCCTACTATCAGTGGAGAAAGAGGAGAACTTACAAATAAGGTAGCATAGAATGGCACGCATCCCCAAGCAAAGAAAAGCTACCTCCACCATGTGTCCATGTCTCCATTTCTCTCCCACAACATAATCTCCATACTGTCGATTCGCTAGCCAGTTCTAGCAGCAGCGTAAAGGTGCTGCTCCATCCTTCGAAGCGTTCTCGCATCTCATTCACATCGCCTTTTCCGCGAGAGAAAGAAAAGGGAAGATTGTCTTTAGCTGCGATGACGATGTTAAACTGCGTTCCGTGCTCGATCAAGTAGCCGACTGCATGCTCGCCTGGTCCTGCCCAGTAATTGAAATTAGGTTTTGTGGCAAGCGCTTCTAACTCTACATGTTTCTTCATCTCTGTTGTTGAGAGGGAGATTCGGTATACCATATCGCCAGTCAGTACAGGTGGGTCCGGACGTCCCAGTAGCGCTTCGCGACACACAGAGTTCACTCCATCAGCGCCGATGATGATATCTGCAGAGATGATCTTCTGGTCTTGGATCCGTACAGTGGAGTTCTGGAAATCAATGCCTGCGACGGTCGACCCGAGACGGAAGACTACGCCATGCTGTGTTGCTTCGTCGGATAACGCTTTGTGTAATGTTTCTCGATGGATATGGAGCCATGGGTAATCGTAGGCCTCCTCAATGGAGTCTCTCCCCTTCAGTTTGAGTTTTGAAAGGATGGAGTCATCGTGGTAAGATCGAATGATGATCGATCCAGGTTGCATTGCTTCAGCACTGAGTGTTTTGAGAAGTCCCCATCGAGATAGTATGTGCGATGAATTGGGAGGAACTTGGATTCCGGCACCTTTCTTTGGCGCAATTAAGCATTGTGGGGACTAGTAATTTGAATATAGAAACGGAGTTATGTACCTCTCCTAGTTGAGATGACTTCTCAATAACTGTGACCTGATAGCCAGCTCGTGCGATTCCAATGGCTGCTGCTAGGCCACCTATCCCAGCACCGATGATGAGTACATGTACTTGGAATTTGTTAGACATGTTGAGGAGGATTGGTATGAAAACATTGATCGAATAATGATCCAGAAAGAGAACAAAAAGGTGTTGAAGTTTTGAAAATCACCTTACATATTAAAATGATTATACTCAACATCTCTAGCCACTTGGAGGGACAATTTGATCTTCCGGTTCAATGTGTCCCCTCAACCGCCAGAAGCACACTGCGCTGTAGGAGGGGTCTGAGCGTCAAGTTGAGACTGTGTAGGCCTAGGCTAACAACATCTCGGCCAATCGAGCACTGAAGCATGGAAATTCCGTGCAGCCACGCAACTATGCGTCTGGAAGATGAACAATCATCCCTTTCCTCGCGGACTTTCATCAATTCCGACGCCGACACCGACAACAATTTTCGTGCAGGGAAATAAGTCGGCCGACAGCATTTACCATGCAGTAAGCTTACCCCCACAGTCAGAAACATACCCAGACAGCGAGAAATACTTGTGCGGAGTTGATGCGGACCTTCTCTGCATGAGATAACAGTCTTACCCGCATTCCCATGATAGGAATTGTGTCAGCAAGACTAAAGACTTAGAAAATGGCTTGGAACTTAGAGCTGATAAGTATAGAGGGAAGTTTGGGGGCCCGCAAAGTCGGGTGGGAGAAAGGGTCACGTGGGACTTTGCTTGAAGTGGGGCTGGACCACCTAGGTAAGTAGGTATGTTGTGCGTTTATAGTGGATGGCTATCCTTGTTGCTCATTTATGTCTGGTAAACTCACTAAGTTTCAAGGAATCTGTTCTCTGTTTACTGCTCAAGTCACGTTTTCACATTCAAAGCTGAAAAGTTCACAAGAACTGTCTTTGACGGCTGTTTGACATGAACTTGTGTTCGTAGGGCCCGTCCTGCCTGATACGACAGTCCGTTTGCAGCTCCTACTCATCTACGCCAATTGTTGTGATACGTAGGAATTGTTTGTATCCAACCAAATTCCATCCCATAAGAGTACCCCAGCCAAGTCTCTTCGAGCGGCAATTGATGACCAGCTCTCCTGATGAAAGTCAGATGAAAGTTTTCGACATGAGGGTGGAGTTTTACCTGATGTTCATGTTGAAAGAGCTGCAAATGGCTTCCAAACCACATTCCATCCCACTCTGCAATGCAGAACCCCCCAAAGTCCTGATGTTCTGTCAGTATTGTTCATGGGTGGAGGGTGTCAGGCGAATCTTACCCATTGAAAGAGTTGAGATGGCAGTGTAAATGGCTTCCAAACCCAATTTCCATCCCACTCTGCTAGGCAGAACCCCCCAAAGTCCTGTTTCTGGTCAGCAACCTTCAGGCAAAGAAGCCATTCGCTGAAGCCTTACCCATTCAAAGAGTTGAGAAGGCAGTGTACATGGCTTCCAAACCCAATTTCCTTCCCACAAGAGATGAAGTGCCCCCCAAAGTCTCTGTAATCACATTAGTTCAATCTCCACAACAACACACAAGATAGAGTACCTGATATTGATGTTGAGAAGGCTGTGTACATGGCTTCCTAACCCAATTTCCATCCCGCCTCTGAATGAAAATTCAGAACCCCCCAAAATCCCTTACTTCATTAACTCTGATTACACAAAGACATGTGGAGGAAATACCTGATGTTGATATAGAGAAGGCGGTGTACATGGCTTCCTAACCCAATTTCCATCCCACTCTGCAAAGCAGAACCCCCCAAAGTCCCTGAATTTGTTAGCTGTGGCCGCTCAAAGACATCCGGAAGTCTTACCTGATGTTTTTGTTGAGAGGGCAGTGTACATGGCTTCCAAACCCAATTTCCGTCCTGCCTCTGAGTGATTCAGATCCCCCCAAAGTCCCTGTGTCACAAGTCAGGAATGCTCAACAAGAGTCAATGTGGAATGGAGGGCTGCTTACCAGTGAGGTTGTTTTTGCTGGCTTCTGAGGTATGTTTTTTTTTGTGAGGGGTTGTTTGTTCGTTTGTTGTGTGAATGTGTGAATGTGTGAATGTGTGATATGAAAGGAAGAAGAAGAAAAACGAACCAGAGGGGAAGAGGTCCTGGCCTTTATAGACCTCAAGTACGCTAAAATAGACTCCAGCACGTCAACTCGAGGTGACTCACTTGAGTGAAGAGTTTTGTAGAGTTTACCCAACAATGAAAGTGCTGGTTCTTCTCGTAGCCAACTTGTGATACCAATACTATAATTCTTTTACTCCCTTTAAAGATTAGGCGAAACTTTAAAAGGGGCTAAGCGAGGTGTTGACGTGAGGACAAATGAGAATGAGAATTCAACAAATTGAATGGAGATTTGACCAAAAAGCAAGTAGCAGTGAACTTCTACAATAACTGTTGTAAAAATCATGCTTTGGAACGTAAAATCCTGAAGCATTTGCGTGGAACGGTTGTGAGTAAGCGGACGTAGAGTTGTGCAGCCTGAAGATGAGGCTCAAATAGAGTTTCTGCCAAAACAACCACAGAGAAACCACCATCTTAGCAACTTCTGTTATCCAATCATACTATGGGGTAGACGAGTTGATCAGGCCATCTATCCTTTGCACTTCTATATCACTACATCATAGTGCAATGAGTCATAGAATCTCCTAGAATATTTCTCGGAATACTTACCTAGTTCTGATGTTAGTTGTTGTTCACATGTCAAATAGAGAACTTTTATCATACGACCAGACCATATAGAGTTTCTGAAAAACAAGAAACGTCACGCATAGAATCTGCCAGAAATATTGTCTACTGTAGCAAACAATCTGGCCTCTACGAGCCAATGGTGAGTCGCATTTCCACTCATCAGCTGCTGAAAGAGCGGATCTTCTTTCGCTTCTTATTCCCTCAAAAGGCAAAGTGCAGCAGAATAAGAACGGCCTCCTCATATGACTGTCTTCGACGTGCTCATCATTTTTGTCAATGGAGACCACCAGTTTAAAGAGTAAGAGAGCCGCATCAATCGTGGATTCAATGACGAGGAGTGCCGATCTCGGATTGAAATAGGACCGATTGCCAGATAAATGGGAATGCGAACATGTGGCAAGAAGGAGAAAGAAGAGCGTGGCAAGTCATCGAATGCTGAGGTGTTGTGACTAGAGTGAAAATTTCACCTGTGACGAAAGCGTTTGAAGAAGGTGCGATGGTTGATGGCAGAAGCATAGAATGGTTGAGAATCACACATGTATAAGATCGGAAATTTAGAATGGCATGAGCTGGATCTTGATCATAGTAACAAGAAAAACAGTTTGAGGAAGGATGAAAGAGTGATTATTTTGAGGAAAGAGGGCCAACTTCGTCTTTATTGCGACGAATGTTCAGTGAGGAAGGTGCTATAGTGAGTGAACGTGCCCTAAAAAGAAGGCACTCACCTCCCTACCGTGTGAGAGACTCCAAACTTGGCATGAGTAATTGCCCCAAGAAAGATACTGCGCATTCACTCCGATTATAAGCATCTGAAGCACGCATCCAATCCTCTACCTGTGGGAGCAAATGAAGATAACTAGCAGCGACCGGGGAGACGCAGCGCACAGCAAGCATCGAGACAACGGGGCATACAAGCAAGAGCAGAACTAGAAGAACAAGAGCTAGGAACGTTACGCATTGGAAAGCGCAAATATATATCAAGTATCGAGACTCACTTGCAGATCCGTTCGATTCTTCGCGACCCTGCTTCGATGTCCGACTCAGCAGTGCCTCAATAGTGAATGCTTGTCGACCGATATCTCCAAAGCCGAAAGTGCCTTGAGACTGTTCCACTGGCAGCGACGCAGATCTGCGATCTACATTCCTTAAGAGAATACAATTGAGCCCTGCTGGTGTCTAGGAACAGCAGCCAGAAGGGAATCGGGATGGGTACTAAACGAGACGAAAGACAACGAAAACAAGGCGGAAGAAACTGACCCCGAGAATCGCTCCAGCAAGACTAATACAAGACGCTCGTCTTTTGGAGCACGCAAAATTCGAAGAAATCTTGGCGGATGGCGGAAAGCGACAGGAAACCATTTCTGACTCGCGCTGGTCGAAAAACTATATTGGAATGTGCAAAATGGCAATAGAAGACTGGATAAACAACCAGAGCCAGTCGAGGGTAGATCATACGAACTTTGCAGGTATTACAGATGTAAGAATAGAATAAAGAAGAAGTCGGTGTACGTGATGAAGGAGGCAGAGACCAGCGGATTGAACTGCTTTCGACTACATTGGACACCGTGTCAAGTTTCAGAGCCGCTCCGAAGACGGTATCCTGCACAGCCCGGTCATTTTCGCTGAGCGGATTTGGAATATTTGTAGGATCGCAGGCCGATGTTTTCACTGTTAGTTACGCTACTCCGCACACCGCTATTCCATGATCCTACCAGAGCATGCTCCTAAGATCTACTCTTCGGGGAGAAGTGACTCGTATGGTTGCCGGCGTATAATTGTCTCCATACCAATGCATTGTCCGTAGCTCCATGCCTTTCGCTGAAACGTGATGCATAGTTCAGGATGCTCTCCAATCTCAAGAGACACTGATACAGTGCTAATACGACGCTCCAGTGGAACCAAATCTTCGTCGCCATAAGATCTTTCAGCATGCAAGTCCAGATATTCTAGCTTTTCGATTCCTTCCTCCAACAAGATCAACTCACGGCCAAGCTGGGTCATTAATCTCGGCTCCCATAGTCCTTCTCGGCCAGCCTGTGTAAGAAGATGAAGGGCTTTTCGCCGGATCTGTGGGTGGCGGCAATTTTTCACAGTCCAGGAAAGTGGAGCGACCAATCCAAACTCCAATGAAAGTCGCTTCGATGCGTCTTCTGAAAGTATGCTATTGGCAAGATCTACAATTGTAGCGAACTCTCGAAAGTACGAGTCGAAATCGGTCTCTTCGGTCTCTGCATATGATGTCGGTAACACGATGCTGAGCCAAGTGTGATGCAGACACATCAGACTTGAATATTGTTTCCATGTGTCAGAGCTGTCAGACACAACTGCTTTGGAGCAGATTTCCTTATAGCGTTTTCGCCAGTCTTTGAGCGTCTTGTATAGATACTGACGATGGAAGTTCGATGATTCGTTCTGTCGTGTATGTTGATCGTGGTCAAGCTCCTGACCTACGAACTGCAAGCACTTGTTCGTAATTATGACTAGGTACTGATTTGCTTCTTGCATGAAAGAGAAATGCTTCGGAAGGGCAAGCGAGAATTGTGATTTAGGGCCGTGGATTTCTGCCGAACTGTGAGAACCAAGCGTGAGCTGTGGTCTTTCTGAGCCAAAGTACGTGGCTTGGAGATCCAAGTCAGCAAAGACGGAGACTATCTCGTCCTCTGTCGAGTGGAAGCTTGATAGCAAGCGTGCCGTTTTCGTGCTGACCTTCGAATCACATTTTGCTGATAGCTTAGATGATGAAGTTGTATGCAGTAATTTTCGGCCCTGGTTCAAGTGCATTAAAGCCTGCCCAAAGCGTCCAGTCGACAGCTCAAGAGCGATAAAGAGTATGCAAGCAATAAGAGAGATCTTCAGAGACGAAAGATCTCCATGCTTCGCGACATGTATTTTGAGGTGTTGAATGGCTTTGTTGTAGTAATGAACAGTATCGAGTTTCATGAGATCACTACCGAGCGGGTGATAGCCTTTGCGAGACGCTTGGGACCATCGACCCGCACTCGCCAGCGCCATAGAAGCATGAAGAATCGCGGGAACTGAGTAGCATGCAGGCAAGGCAATCTTTTTCCAAAAGTTAGATGAACGTAATCCAGACATTTCACGGATCGTTTGAGACCTGAAAAGATCGAATGCCGCAGATTCCGAATGATTGAGGAACGGAATGACATCCAAAGTTGTCATGACCTTCGGCTGGATTTCTGACCATGAATTTGCGTGTCCCTTGGCCTTTTGGATTTTGATGATCTTAGACGTAGGACGTTTTGGTGCATCTATGACAATCCCGTAACCCTCGCATATTCTGTTTCCCGACAGGCAACGGATGCAGCATGGCTTGATCTCGTCGCATTTAATTCTTCTCCTTCTGTGCGGAGCGATTTTAGCAAATCTCGTACGCGTTGGCGCGAGTGACGTCTTACTTGCAAGTCCGGCATCCCGCTCTGCTTTTGAAATGGCTCGCCCTGCTGTTCTGCATACCTGGGTCTGTCTTCAACCTAAGTCTTCATGGAACCGTCCCGATTTGCTACTTTGTTGATGCGGTAAATGAAGCACGTACAGATGCTGTGCGATACAAGAATCTGAAAGAGTAAGTCCGGGAGTGGGCAATATGCTGATCCCGAAAGCAGACACAGCAACTACGAAAAAGGGTTGAGATATATAACCCACAGCTGACGTACATCCAGTGACCATCCTAGATTTCACGAACGAAACCGACATGGAATGAGAGTGCGGCGAATTGGATCATGTAAGCACTAACCTTAAATCACCAGTGGGTGTCAGAATTCGTGAACCACGCTAAAATTAGGCGAGAACGCCAGAATTTCAAAGGGGGTCAACAGTCAATTGCTAATATTATTACAAAATAAATCACCATTTTGCAGTTTTAATAGCTTTCCCCCCATTTTTAATAAGGCGTCTGCATCTCCCAGGCATATCAGCGATACGTGAGCGTATCTCTTCTAACGTGATTTTATCCCATTCCTCTTAAAGAGCTTGTTTTACCTCCTCGTTAGAATAAAAGACTCTCTAGCGCACACGTTGCTTAATGATATTCTAAATACCCTCAATTGGATTTAGATCTGGTGACTACACAGAGTGCTTGATATTAACTACCCAATTGACTACTTTTAGCTAATACATAAGGCCTTCTTTACGCATACTATGAGTGTGACAGCACTGTGACGATGGTGTGAGGTGGCGACGCAACGTCGGGCTATTCATTTAGAATCTAAAGCTAAGGAGAGAAGAAAGGAGAGGAGGAGAGATCTATATACATATATATGTCAGAAGTAAGGGGATGTCAGGTGAGGAGCTAAGCCCCATTAGGCTTAAAGCTCGGGAACGCCACCATTCCCGGCCTGGCCTCTGTCACAGGCGATTAGGACAGGCGATTGGCTCAGGCGATGGGCTCAGGTGATCCGTAACAGCCGGCGCTGTGACAATGAGAGGGGTCCCTATCTTCTTAAAGATACACTTGATTTGTATGTTGTAAACGCTATTCTTGGATAGCTTTGATGTATATAGGCAAGAGACGCTCTATATAGTACTTTTGGGTTATATGGTTGCCTACAACCTTTTTCTCTACTTTGTGAGGTTTAGTAGCTGTCACAGCGCCAGCGGTTACCAATCGCCTGAGCCAATCGCCTGCGACAGAGGCCAGGCCGGGAATGGTGGCGTTCCCGAGCTTTAAGCCTACTAGGGCTTAGCTCCTCACATGACATCCCCTTACTTCTGACATATATATGTATATAGATCTCTCCTCCTCTCCTTTCTTCTCTCCTTAGCTTTAGATTCTAAATGAATAGCCCGACGTTGCGTCGCCACCTCACACCATCGTCACAGTGCTGTCACAGTAGCCTCCTATTCTTCCACTCTAGCTTTATATTCCTCTTAAGACTCTATTGTTGGGCGACGACGAGGTTTTGGAGGCATAGGAGGGTATTCTATAGTATCTTCTTCGTTATTATAGAACTCTAGCTTTTCTGATTTCCCCCACTAATTGATCCAAGCAGCAATATAGAATGCTATACCTTTTATTTCTTTCCGTTCCATAATATTCTCGTCCGCATAACGTTAGCCGCCTCCTTCGTATCTTAATATATAACCAACAGGCTAGGCGCTAGGATCGTAGTGTGCCTCGTCCGTATACGTAATTAAGCTCTAGTAATCCTCAATTGTTTTGCCTACATACTCTTTTCTAAAAGCAACACGTTCCTCTAAGTTTTTTTCTAAAACTTACTTGTTTACAAATGCTATTTTAAACCATTGTGCCTTTATAAGCTCCTTTAATTTCCTTTGCAACTAGCGCCTCTTTATTAGGAGTTTATAGTACTGAATTTGCGCGTTAAGGTCTTAGTCGCGGACGGGGTTTTGTGTAGGATCGACCAGCATTTGGCACATAGCTAATATAACTTTAGACTTCCTCCCGAGTGGCTTTTTAGATATTCTACATGTTGTTCTCATTACTAGATAGCCTATTGTCTCTCTCTAACGCTTCCAACGCAGCCTAGTAGTATAATCAACACCTTCATAGCGACATAGCTAGCGGAAGGACTTTAAGTGGTGTTGCTTATCGTACGCGTCGTAGAATCGTGTACGCTTGCGAGTTGAAGCTGGGTAATTATACGCTGGGTCTGGGGGAGGGGTAAGACGGTCATTTGCGCGCGTTCTGGGTGCCATAAGTGCCATAATTGCTGTTGTAGTGGTAGGAATGGCGGGGCGCGATTTTCGTGTTATTCGCTAATTTTAGCGTGGTTCACGAATTCTGACACCCACTGGTGAATCAACGCCTCACTTTGAGGCAAAGCTCTCCGACGAATGATGACCCTGGATTTTACGAGATGCGTAGCGCCAAGAACCGCACTCAAAAGGCGCATTGTACCGTCAAGAGATGAACAGTTCCTCAAAATCCGCGGCGGATTTCCAGAAATTCCGCAAGGAGTCTTATATTCAACTAAGCCTCGTACCTGAGAAGAGAAAAATCTTGCAGGTTCAGCCAACTCGATTGGTTTTATTGGTGCATAGCTGATTACGCGCGCGCAGATCTATACAGGCTATTTTGACGTCAATTGTGTAGCACGGAGTTCAGTTGATGAGGTTGCTTATGGCAATGTCGGAATTGAAAAATTCGTGGTAAATATCAATTCGAAGATTTGGAAGGCTATCAGCGTTCAGCCGAAGACATGGTGCATCGGATCGGTTTGGTGAGGAAGGAACAGCGTGAGGGCTGGCAAACCCCTGAGCTTAGCGAGTCTGACAGACAAGTATTTCATTTCTATCTTGCACTAAAGTATAAAAGTTATTCAAGTGCAAACAGTTGGTGAAAAAGTAAGTATATTTCTGGCCTGACCTTTCATAGTTCATCTATTTGTTTTCTTTTGGTGGCGGTGGTGATGCGGGGTGCATGGTCTCAAACCCTTCTCTAAGTGGCTCGCTGAACGCGCTGAATGTTGAAGCTCAGCGCCACAGCCCCAATTTAGGCCTAGATGCAGGGATCAAATCTTAATTTCAAGCCTCATTGTCTTTCAATACCAAAACATTGCGAGACTCCTGCGCTAATTAGTATGAGTCTACTGTTGCTTTTGCCTTTGCGAGATTGTCGGCTTTCTTCCCTCACATTCATTGGGTATATGATCTATTGCGCTTTCTTCTTTTGATCACATCACTCGCACTTAGTCAAGAGGAGCGATAATTTGAAGCCACTAAAGTAGTGGCAGTTTATACTTTCAAGTATAGACTGGCCCCCGTCCACATGTTTCCTCGTTGTTCTCCTGCCAGCACTTTTGTATCTCTTGGGTTTGGCCCGCACACTCATTTTGGGACGGTCATTTCTGGGTACTACTGATCCTACCAATTGGGGTTATTCAATTGCACCTTCCTGCTCAGCAACATTCCCCATGATTTTCTCCACCTCTGTCGCGTTGCTCCTTGCAGCGCAAGCTGTGTCTGCTAACCCACTGTATAATCAAGTCAAAGCCCACCTGCCAAAAACTATTCTAATTCCATCTTAGTAAGAGCGAAAAGCGACAATTTCCTCCGGGAATTGGGTTCAATTGGGGCTCAGAGAAGCTTCGAGGTGTCAACATTGGTGGATGGTACGTGCAGCTCAGTGCATTTGGCAATTGTCGTTGCTAACACTTCTGTCTCTAGGCTAGTTCTCGAGCCGTACCCACTCGCTATTCGTCCTCGTGGCGTATAAACTGACAGCAATTCTAAGATTCATCACTCCTTCCATCTTCCAATCACTCGACCAATCCCTCGGCATCCAAGACGAGTGGACACTGGGCCAGCAACTTCCAGGTCAAGCTCCAGGCATCCTGCAGAATCACTGGGATACATGGGTTGGCTTGAGTGACTTCCAGAAGATTGCTGATGCAGGTTTCAATCTTGTCCGTATTCCAATCGGGTTCTGGGCGTATGACAATGCCAACACTCCATATGTGTCCGGCTCTGCACCCTATTTGGACAATGCTATCGGGTGGGCACGACAAACGGGTCTCAAAGTCATGATCGATCTCCACGGGGCGCCAGGATCGCAGAATGGCTGGGAGCATTCGGGTCAGGCGATGGCAAATCCGGGATGGCTAGTTGATGGAGGAGCATACGGACCGACCTCTCAAAGGACTCTTAATGTGCTCAACACAATTGCGCAAAAGTATGCAGATCCCAGCTACCACGACGCTGTTGTCGCCATCGAACTTCTCAATGAGCCCAAGGGTTGGGTCCTCAACCGAGCAGACTTGCGCCAGTTTTACCGTGAAGGGTATGGACGTGTCCGACAGGTCAGCGATACCGTCGTCGTGCTTCATGATACATTCTTTGCTCCAGAATCTTACAACGGATTCATGACACCTCAGGATCTGAATGTGCAATATGTTGCCTTGGGTATGTTTGAAAATCATTATTTGCCAAAAGATTATTAGCTAAGTTCATAGATCATCACTACTACCAAATCTTCGACGACTATTCTGTTGGCTTGCTTCCGTGGCAGCATCGCCAGTTGGTATGCAACTCAGCAGATCAATACTGGGGCGCAGATAAGTGGACTTTTGTTGGAGAGTGGTCGGTATGTTGAAACTTTGTCCAAGATTCACTGGAAAGAAGCTAAAACGCTCAGGCCGCTATGACTGACTGTGCACAATATCTGAATTGTAATCTTCCAAAGCAGTCTCAGCGTAATAAATGCTGACGTTATGTTCCAGGTTATTATGGCGGTGCTCGTTATGACGGAAGTCTGGACGGAATTTACCATGGATCTTGCGCCGGCATGTCTACTATCAGCAGCTGGGACCAGGAATACAAGGACGACACTCGTCAGTACATTGAGGGGCAGATGGATGCATTCGAGTCCCAGAGCCAAGGTTGGATCTTCTGGAATTTCAAGACCGAGACTGCGCAGGAGTGGAGTCTTTTTGACCTCTTGGATAACGGACTATTTCCCAACCCCGTTACGGATAGGCAGTTTCCACCTATGTGCGACCAATATTGGTAATGGTAGATCTGGGTACAGATTTGAGAGATGGTAATTGTGGAGATGAGGGCGAAACTTGACAGAGAAATCAACAAGCTCCAGTCCTCGGTCTATTTTCGTTATGCACATACTTAAAACCGGCCTGGGGTGTGTGTTTTGTAAATTCTTGTATATCATGCATCTGCTTCAAACCTTTCATATCTCCTCTTCCTTTTCTTCGCTTTGCTGGCCAACCAGATGCAGAACTCCAAGTCACTAGCCTCTAAAAGCATTCAGAAGATCTGATTTGCGATACCGAAGACGTCGACAGGATGGCGGTGACTGTTGTCCATAGACCTCGAAAAGAGAAGGGACACTGCAGAAATTTGGGCGAATAGCAATGTGAGCTTTGCGCTTACTCATAATCACTGTCCAGTCGATCTGATGAGGCTGAGCCACAGTTTAATCTCCGCTATTAACTTCCCCCAAAATGCGGGTACTGGCATCAGGTATCCAGATTGTGTTTGTTGTCAACGGCATTGCACTTTATCTTCCATAGTCTTCTGCTCTCAAAGACTTCCCCTCTTTTCGTGAATCATTTTGCACTTGTATTTGCCTCTGGCTTTGATCGCTTTTTTGTCCGCTCGGTCTATTTAACTCAGAAACACTCTACACAAGTCATAACATAAACGACAGTACTTGCAAACGAAAACGCAATAATGAACGATCTCCCCAGCCCCTCAACTCCTCGCAACTTGCGCAAGAGACCTCAAAAGCGGACCGTGCCAGAAGATGATGACGATGATTCGACGGACAATGAACCATCTGCGAAGAAGGTCAAAGCGGAGACAAAAGACGAGTCTCCCACTCCAAATGCTCAAGTCTCTTGAACTCCCTCCAAAGCGGCACAACGCAAGCTCGAAGCTGTGAAGAAGAGACAGTGGAAGAGAGACTGGGTCCGATGGGTATCTGAATCGAAGTGGGAGAAGGACCCGAGTTACAAGCAGAAGGTTGGCTCGGAGGAGATACATGGAAGTGATGGTAAGGATCGCATCGATCTTCCCCTATTTGAAAGACTCACTAATCGCCTGCAGCCATGAAGTTCTACAACCTGACAGGAGAGGAGATGGACACTTTGCCATTTTGGAAATTTGAGAACATCAACTCGCTGTCGCACCCAGGTCGGTCGTACGTCGACAACGAAGTGAAGAGGCTAGCATATCGGAAGCTGGCCATGCTCGTTGGCTTCCATAAGGAAGATATGGAGGAGAATGAGCTACTGAGGCAAGGCTACATACTCTTTGAAGAGAAGTACGTCCAGTGTTAACATTGTAATGCGATGAAGTCAACTAACCACATCCACAGGCAGATTCAACGGCGGCAGGGAAATCCCAATACACCGACCGAGCCAATAACCGGCACGATTTTCATCCCAAAGCCGCACGAAACCTACCGAAACCCTCTCACCGGTATCCCTCATGGCTGTTGGGAAAGTCCAGTATGGCGAAATGGTGTTCTCATCGGCCACTGGCTGAATGCACAGTTTACTCCGGACGACGATGGCGAGTGGATCCCAAAAGAGAGATTCAAGCCTCTTGGATCTGATACATGGATCGAGCAACGTGGATAAGACAACTAGATCGTAGGTATTACTGCTTTTGTTTGTGATTTGAACGGGATCTTGTACTCCAAGCTCGAAGGCTCCAAGTTAGCAATTCTATGATTCTCACGTGACTAGTCAAAGCCAGCTCCAAAACTCTCTTGCCTCTTGTTACAGGCTTACATGACCTCTGTTAACCTTTCAAACCGACTAAAGCTTTAGTCTGATTGTAAATGTATAGTGCTTCAGTCAGTCAAGGTTTGGATCATGGTGCTCATGGCCAAAGACTGATCTCGAGTTCGTGAGGTCCCTCGAAATGCTTTGCGAGTTTTGCCATTGCTCTCCTTTCGCGTCCTCATTTTATCCACCAATGTGTAGAAACATATGATTAATTCAAATTCATACCTTCTCAGAGCGAAGCTTCCTACAGTCCCTCATTTCTCTTTCTTGTTGCCCTGCGCGGCACCGGCATGTTTGTTTGTCAATAACATTTGACTTCGAACTTTCCAGCCCCTTCTAGTTTCCTACAATAAGAAAGTTCCCTTCTTTAAGTCAAGAATCTAACACTCGTCTTCGGGCACTCTTTCATGCTTTCTTCTCCGCGCAGCCTATTTTAAGGAGAAGTGTTCGTCAATACTGCAACATCAGTACAAACGCAAACGAAACTCTTGCAAACGAGCACGCGATATCCAAGCGATATACCACCACATAGATGCTGGGACACCGCGCAAGAGATAAATGAATTGAGGCCGTATTGAGAATTGATCATTGGCTGTCGAACAATCTCCCGACATGGAGACATTACTTGAGAAATCCAGCTCATTCCATTATCTTCAATCGAAAGTATATCTCGATGGTTACACCAAAAGGCACAGCACTTACACAATTGGCGAATGAATCTTACCGGCAACTTTTATTTTCCTTTAGCCTCAGGAAGCCCTGCAACGGTAGTTAGTATATTGGTAGCGAATGCGGGGGAATTCACGACCCCGCACTGCAGTCACACTGACTAAGATTTTGATGTTTTTATTTAGGACAGTGATTGGGATTGATACACGGCTATGCGAAGAAAACGGGTAAGCCAGACAAATTATTTTCTAGTCGACATGAGGATATAAGTCCCCATCGGCAACCTACATTTCTCTTCGTGACTCTGTTGAGAAGGTTATATATACAGCCAAAACTCCAGTTTTTGAAGACAACTACAAATCGTCTATCATGATGTCTCCGCAATCACTACATGCACAGCTCGTCTTCATTTTTGTGTTCGTCTCGCTCGCACTTGCTAGCCCTCTTCGCACCATCTACAAAGATGTAGCTATTCTCGGTGGCGGAGCATCAGGCGCACATGCTGGAGTCAGACTCCGAGAGGACTTCAACAAAAGTATCATTATCATCGAGAAGCAGTATAACCTAGTATGCATCTCCTTACTTCTTTTAACTGAATCTCCAAATTCCCACAATTTGAATCAAGCATTGACGGACATCAAAGGGCGGCCATGTTGAGACTTATATCGATCCAGTCTCGGGGAACCCATATGATTACGGAGTCAATTCTTACGCCGAATATGGCAGCGCAAAGCAGTTCTTCGCTCGATTCAACATCTCACTCATCAATCCGACAAATCTAAAATTAAACACCTCCAACATTGACTTCACAACGGGCAAGTCCCTCCCGGGTTACCAAAGTCCAGCGTCTGCAGATGTGACTGCAGCACTTACGCGGTATCTCAACATCACGGCCAAATACGAAGACATGATTCTTCCATCATTCGCCAATTTCCCAACTGATGTTCCTGACGAGCTGCTCACCAAATTCTCTAATATTGTCATCAAATATGACTTGCAAGCCTGCCTTCCTCTTTTGTATCAGGTTACTGGCTTCGGGCTTGGAAACATGGGCGATGAAATATTCCTGTTCGTGATGCAGGAGATCAGCGCACCCATGACTCGAGTCCTCCTCGGGCTGAAGAATTCCTGGGTTCCATCCACGCACAGAAACCAAGATTTATACGACAGGATTGGGACTCTATTGGGGGATGACGTTCTTTACTCCACCACTGTCGTTGAATCGAATAGAACTGAGCATGGAGTCCAGCTTCTGGTTCAAAATGACAAGGGAGAACTTACTTTGATCATAGCTAAGAAGCTCCTCGTCTCATTTGCGCTCAGTCCGGACAATACCGCAACCTTGAATCTTTCGAAAGCTGAAGAGGACATCTTCTCAGCGTGGAGCCTCGATCATCAGTATTGCGGCATCGTGACTAGTCCTTCCCTGCCCATCAACGGCTCGCTGGTCAATATACCCGCCACAGCCGTCCCAGCCAACTATCTCCAGTTTCCGGCAACTCCCTTCGTGGTCCGATATCAATATCTGGGTGACAAGAATTTCCGCATCTTGCTCACGGGCACGGAGAACTACACCATTCCTTTAGCTCTGTCGCTCGCTAGCAATACATTCGAGACTCTGGTTGCAGCAGGCGATATCCCTCAAGGCTCAGCGCTGAATTTTGCTGCGTTCACGGAGCATACGACGACAGCTCGACATGTCCCACCTGAAGTGGTCCGAGACGGGTTTTATCAGAAGCTGTACGCTCTGCAGGGTTGTCGGTCGACGTTCTATACTGGGAGGGCGTGGGCGGGACAGTTCACTACTGTGCTGTGGGCTTTTAATGATCAGTGGTTGCTTCCGAAATTGTTAAGTAGTTTCTGATGGGCTGTCAATTGGTTTCGATTGTTTATGGTGTGAGCGCTGATTCGATTACAACTACTCTGCGCAATAAATCCGTTTCCAGATAGAGATTGGAATTTTGAGCTTATGTTGGTGCCGTTTTGATTTCAATGTCTATACATGGCGTCTATGGCGTTATACAACTGCAACCAGAGTTATATGCTTATAAGAAGAAGTTCTACCCTTATCGAATCTTGAGAGATGATAAATTTAGGTAGTGAACGTGAAGTTGGGTGCATAATCCGCGCAATCCGCGCACTCTGGGCAGTTCCCGCATCTTATCAACACTCATATATACCTTCCACTTTTCTTCTTAAATGCATCATCTAAAGCCAGTTAAAATTACTTGCAAGAGCAACATTCAAGGTACTAGACGCATGTTTAACCATTTCCCTTCAAAGAATAGCCTTTGCAATACAAATATTCAAATCTGCATGAGGAAAGAGCAAACCATATTGCCTTCCAATCCCTTTGCCTTTTCTTGAATACAAAGCTTCTTCAATACAAAGCTTCTTCAATACAAAGCTTCTTCAATACAAAGCTTCTTCAATACAAAGCTTCTTCAATACAAAGCTTCTT